TTATGAGCATTTAAATAGCTGTTTCAAAGTGACAGACTTTCATCTTTAAGAAGTGTAATCTTTTTTAGTACACTCAAATAGAGAAGAAGAATAAAGTATTTTAAACCCTTTCTATTTATTCCTTTTATTTTTTTTTTAAGGAGAAAAGCAAAGAGGGGTGAGGGAAAGTCACTAACTTTAAGAAATAAATATAGATCAAATAAGCATTCAACAAATGTGAAAAAAATAGTTATTAAAAAAATCCAAACATGTAATTTGACATTTTTCTGCCTTGTCATTAGGTTGCATGTTGTTTTGTGTATTACTGTTACCAGTGATACTTAACACATCTGTATTTTCAGAAGACTAAAAGACACTGCTGTCCTCTCCAAGCTCCTTCCCCCCCCCCTTCCTGTACTAGCACTGTGTATCCACAGGCATTTCTGCAGACCACCCAAGAATCATTGTTATATAGAAAATATCATAGCGAAATACTTCCATAAAATTTCAAAACTTCCAAGTAGAACGTTAAATTATTATATTCTTTTAATCAAAATCTGTAAAGCAAATTAGAAAATAGGAAAACCTAAACCATAGTGCATTGGGGTTTTTTAAATAATAAATTTTGATCAAGAGCATAACTTTAATTGTACAAGGCTTTGCTTTCTCTACTGTACTTTATTTAAAAAAATAATAATTATTAAAAAAAAAAAAAACACCAAACCAACCCAACCTAATTGAAATAATATTATGGGTACAAAACAACAGGAAATGCCACAGTTAAGAATGAAACTTTCCTGAATAATGCTACTGTACTTCTGTACTGCATTTTACGCTGCATTGCAAAACAGTGTCTAAAAATAACAGCCTGCCCTGAAATAAAAAATCCTGATCACAGTTGGAGAGAATACAATTCTCAACTCAGTTGCCAAGCTACTAATATTTAGTCAGATCCTTTATATAGGTTTCTGTAAAAATAATATTTGCAATCATGTGATTTTTTTTTTGTACGAGTATTCAAAAATATTCTCGAGTCCTTTACTGAGTCAATGAATCAACCAGATGCAGCACACAAAATTGTTAAGCCCTTTTAGCACATCAGCTACACTTTCAAAGAATATCAGTTTTTAAGTAAGAATCAAGTGGATATATCTAGGCATAACCAGTACCCAACGAATTAACCAAGGCAAAAGAAATCTGACTTAGTTCAAGATGTAAATTTTGTTCCTTATTCTTTGATGAATTCTTCTTGTGTGCAGTTACTAGAAAGATGGCACAATCTTTCCACTCACAACTTTTACTACCAGTACAACTTTCCTGATAGTTGTTTATAGAAAACCGATAAATTAAAAAGCATATTTTTGTTCTTACAATCCTTTTATTCTATAGATTATCAATTAATTTTACTGCAAGATTCTTTGCTATTTCAAGAAGGATCTACAATACAAAACTTTCTCTCAGATTAAAGATCTTCCATTTCTTTAACAACTAAATACAGCAGTTAAATTTAATGAAATCTATAAATCAAGTGGTGGTTTATATTTATCTTTAAAGTACTTCTAATTTGCCACTTTTGTTTTTCTTTAAAATGGCCAAGCGAGTAGGGAGGCACACCAACTTAACATTTGCTGATACAATACAATACATTGAAATTTTACTTAGAGCAACAAAAATCTAAGTAAGCATAAAGTCAGATTATTTAATGTCTTTGAATTAATTTTAAATATCTGAATTAGCTAGTCCTGCTTTGTGCTTGATTAATTTTTTTTTAAGATACCTTATTCCACCTTGTTAAGTTTAAGGAAAATTTTATTCATATAATGCACAGCCTGAATTGAAACACTTCAACTCGTATATTAGCTAAAATACATCTTTTGGCAAAATAATTATTAGAGCTAGAACACCTGAATAATTGCATATTAATTTATTATTAGCCTAATTTAAAACCTCAACACTACCCTAAGCTTTAGCCTTTTGGTAAACTCATCCCTTTTCTAATCTTTTCTCAGGCTGGAAATGTTTTCCTGCTATGGATGGGATATGTTTGAGAAGGGTTTGAAAGCACAGGCTTCTTGCTTACCTATGGTGGCACTAGCGAGCAACAGCGATTTAAGAACAGTCACTGTATTTTACGCACAGGAAAGTTTAGCAAAGTAGCACACTTTGTGATGTGAAATGCTATTTGTATGCTTCTGATCTATAGCATAGTTATGTTTAACTGAACATGCTGAAGGTCTACAAAGTTATTTAGTTTTCTTACTAAGTACAGAATTTGAGAGAAAGCTATATTTAAATAATATGCAAAGCAAAATAACAAAGAAATATCATAGGTGTATAGCTCTCACATATTAGTAAAATTGATATAAAATGCAACCAGTTTTCTTTCCAGCACATTCCCTTTAACAGGGTTAATGTGCAAATGGTTGTCTTCATTTATACAGATTTTTATTTTTAACATGACAGATTATTGTACTTATCTGCTCCTAGAAAATATGTACTATACAAACATATCCTTTATCTTGAACTTCAGTATTTCTGTGCTTCCAAGAAGAGTAAAAACATCTGGTTAACTTACTGTGTGAGTTCAATATCCAGGGAAAACCCTGTATCAATTGCATATAAAATAAACTAAGGATTCAATCCTTTTTGATTTGCAAATGTTCAGTGTGATCAGTCTGTTGAAATCACATCCCTAATACATGTCAGCACAATGCTAACTGATGTACCAAAATTATTTTTTTCTGAATAAAATCAAGTTCTGTTCTTGTTCTACAGCTCACAATGTTTTAAAGTTTAATTCTGTTATGTGTGCTCCCCCCCAACAAAACCCCCCAAACTGGAACGGTACAAACTGTTGCACACCAGCGGTGATGGCTCCAAGGGACTGGCTGGATGGAGTTGTCATGTGTCTGCCTGTCTACACTTGCTGTGCAGAACATCCTCTCACCTGTACAGCAGGCACAGACAGGCAGTCGCATGACAACCCAGCCTGAGGGACAGCCGCCAGTGGGAACCCGCTCTGACACACCAGAGCATCTTCACCAACAGCTCCAGCCAAGAGTCACTCTGGATCTCAGACGGCCGGTCAGTAACCAAGCCGCGTACTGCAACCCACCTAGAGTCAAACCAACACTGCCTATAAAATACAATAAAACCCACTGCTGAAATTTTTACTGTGCTTCCTATAGTACTCTTTTCCTAATTGTCTCATTAACTCACTAACAGTAAGTTTTATTTATACACAGCTTTGCAGCACCATTGTATGTTTCATCCTCCCATTTACTTCTCAGGCATAACTTAAGAAACTTGCATTATTAGATTATTATACATATAAAAATCACTAACATTCCTACTAGCCACAGAAGCAGAGAGCAGCTTTTTGTATGGCAAGTTAATTCTGTAAACATACATAATATGGCAGACTTCTGAGGAACTTCTCCCATTTCCACTCTCTCATTTCCTCAGTTACTTTCATATCTCCCTCCAAAGCACACAGAATTTTACAATGGGGAATAGGCTGTGAAATTATAATACGAACTGCATCTATCACTGGATGTTGACAATACTATCTTTTCCTACTGAAACAGAATGGAAATATTTTATTTGGAAATAAGATTAAGGGGATTTTTCCAAATGTAAACTTCATATTTTTAGAAGTTCTTATCCTAGAGTCCAGCTTGGCATCCTTTGCTCACCAATAATTTATCCAGTGAAATCTCTGGATGCTTTGAAAGGAATAATAAAATCACATTCTCTGACCATGTCCTGTAAAAATACTAAACCACTTCACAAATGACATATTTTCATTTACAATAAAGAGCTTTTTTATTCACAAGCTAGGAGGGTGTTCCACATTCCCAAAGTCCATTTCATCCTAATGTAGAGTGGCTGATTCACTAACTTCCTATTTGCAGGTTGACCCTCAAAATGAATCTTATCACAGAAGCTTCCAGCGTTTTGTGCTACTTAAAAAACCAGTACAACTGAGAGCTAAAATGCTAAGGTCTTTTGTGTGTGTAGCTATGCCTTGCAATACTTTATCTAGCATTACATAGAATACTCTATAAAAGAAATCTGTATTTATGAGATCAATGAATGTGCTAATCTTGCACTTATTTACAGCAGTCTCAAAGTGGTACACAATTTTTCTTGCTTCATTTTAAGCAAGCAGAAAAGCAAAAAGTCATGTTACTAGTAATGAAGCAAACTTGTGAACACTAGCAACTGCAGGCAAGGTCAGAAACTAGAATAGTATTCACTACAAGTGATAGTATAACTGCCTTAACCACAATGCTCAAAACCAGACTTGATTATTTCAGTAATTACAAGACTAAAGATCATTCTTAGGCACTGATTCCCATCTATCAGGAATAAAATCCTGTTGTACGTTTGAGCAGCAACAAAACCATGTCAAGAAACCACTCTTTCTTTTTTTTTAATACTGATATCATACAAGTTTTGAAATCTTTTGCCAAACTAACTTGATTCAAAATGCATTCCACTATGTATTCATCACTTATAAAAGCTGCAGCTCAAAAAATAAGGAAATCATTTACATCCTTCCAATGGCACTAGCAAACAACCACTTGCATTCAGATGGTGACCTTCACCTCAGTGAGTTTCAGATTATAGAAAATGGGCTCAGTTTACGCTAGAGGAGTACACAGCCCTAGAGGTCCTAGCAAGCACTGCAGCTTTGTAAAGCACATTGTCAGAGCTCCCTGATACACAAGCTGCTACATCATTCCTTACTCAAGGGTAGAGGAAAGAGGGGGGGGGCAAACTCTTCTCTGTGGCAAGAGAACAAAGGTGAGACCTGACTTCCAGCATCTTCCCAGCCGCAATGGACAGGATTTTGCTGCTGTGCAAGGACTGCAGAAGTGACCAGCTCAAGTGGGAGGCACGAGGAATCTGAACTTCCTACGACCTCACAGCATGCACAGCCAAGCTGGGCCTGGGCACAGTCCAGAGACATAAACATGGATATCACTTCACACATCACTGAAGACTATGTATCTTACGAGGCTGCAAATACACCAGCATGCAGCCATTTCAGTAATCATCTGAGAACAGGATGTTACAACTACCAAACCAATCTGAAAGTGAGGAGAACATTTATGGGAGATGAAATGTAATTGTAAAAATTGGAATTCGGCCAGGAATTCAAATATTTGCTTCTTTATTTCCAAAGCTAGTAGTTCTGTTTCTGAAACAAGTGGTCTTTTGACTAACCTAATGATTGAGCTGTGGCTTTGACCTTCTTCAGAAAGCATCTAAACCAGATTTTTACTAATTTTTTAAGTCCTACTGAGAAAGGCTCAGTAGCAAAAAAAAAAAAAAAATCCAAAATAACTCTGTGACATCCTTCCCAGGGCAGAATAGTCAAATTATACAGCAAATCTGTATTTAAGAAGAAACTTCTTCCATCAGCAAAGCATGGAATAGTACTACACTACTATCACTCTAAGAAATTCCTGTGTGATCTGCCATATTGGCCTGAATGACCTACTTGCATATTTATGACTCTTTAAACACAACTCTCTGGCAATTAAGAGACATTAGTTTTAAATACGCATATAAAAATCACTGAATCAGACAGTGTCCATCTCCCTCCATGTACTATTCTGACATTCCCAGGTGACTCTCCCTAGCACACTGCCAAAACAAACTATTTTTAAATTTGCATAACAGAAGACATTCTCTAATTAATTTCAGGAATTGCTATATTTCACACTAAACAAAGATCAGACTCAAAAAAAGCAATACCAACACTACTTTAAAAATTGCCACAAGTGTATCTTGGATGCACCTCCAATTGCTTGAGAAAGAACATAGCAACAGGTTCTATTCTCACCATGTCACTTCTTATAGTAACAGTTACCTGCACCTAATCTAAGAAAAGAAGTTCTAGTAGCTTCAAGATAGACCACAGAAAAACAACATCTTCAAGTTTTCAAACCCATAAAGGTACTTTTGCATTTATTTTTTATTAATTTTTCTGTCATTGTAATAAAATAGTTCAAGTTTTATTTCAGTAATCTGAGAATAAAACTTTTCCTCTTGACACTTACCTGATCCTCTCTGACATGCACTCATTTTCCTGTCACAGTAAATACATTTTAATCCATTTAAAAATTAAATAAAAGGGCAAGGGGCAAAATCTTTGAGATTGGCCTGGTCTGTCTCTTTATCTTAAGGTGTATCCCAAAATGATAATCAACCCAGGTAAAAATAAACACTATTAACCAACACAGTTTCCACCATCAGCACTATTACTGAAGTAGCTACCCATGTTAAGTTGGACCATTGTGGTTTAACCCCAGCTGGCAACTAAGTATCAGGCAGCCACTCACTCATTCCCCAACCCCACCCCAAGGCACGGGGAGGAGAATCAGAAAAAAAGAGCAACCACGCTCTTGATTCACAGACTAGCAGAGCTCTGGTTTATGTACACGCATTGCGGGACCTCTCCCTAGCGGTTCTAGAAAATCCACTGCAATAAAACACTAGGTTAATTTAAACAGAATATACATTTTGTGCACAGTCCGCTTCAGCTAACTCCCTGTTTTGCTGGGGTAAGCCACTGTTTTGATTATTACTTAGAATAAGAGGGAAAGATCATCTAAAATTTTTAGAGCTCATCTAAAAATTTCTTTACCTGTACTTCTCCTCTTTTATCCAACAAACTGGTTCATCATAGGAAAAATCACTAAATTTTTGCTGAACACATTTAATTTAGAAAAATAGGGCTAGGCTTCTGACACACACACACACACACACACAAAAAACAAACAAAAAATCTGAAAAAAAAACAACCAAACCCAAACCCAAACCAAAACCACAAGATCTTTACAGTTGACAGTGTAGCACACATAATAATCCTATTATTCCATTTTAACCTTCAAAATTTAAGAAGACTGGGTTTTGGACAGAGCATACCATTACCAACATTGTGAGAAAAAACTATTAAAGAAAACAGACAAACTGTGTACCAACATATTGAATATGTGGGCAACTGATCAGCAGCAACATTTCTTACCAAGGTGTATTTTTTCAAATTTGAAAATCCATACCAACCAGCTACAGAACACAATACACAGGCTTTTCATCCTCTTAGAATACAAGGCCAGAGAACAATTGTCATTAAATCAATTGCTGTAGTTATATTTAGAAGTAACTTTCCCTAGACAATTCATGATCAACATATGGTAGATGTGCAAGTGCAGTCCAAACAGGTACAGGACAATAACCAGAACATTCCAAAATAGGCTGCCTTCTCTCCTCATCCCAAAACCAGTGTGCGGAAAAAATTAAAACAAAAAAACAAACAAAAGCACCCCATATAGCACTCTGTATTTCTTATCAAGATTTCAACAGAAGGCTTGGATTCATTTTCCATGAACGAAACCCAGAAAATTTAAAGGACTCAGGTAACGCCTTAAAACATTCTTTCCATTAAACTCTGTACAAGCTTTTATTTTAAGGCGATCTCCGAAGACTGAATATTGCCTCCCCAAAGAAAAAAGTTCTTCATTCCTTACCTCATCATCTTTATACCAGGACAAGCTTTCTGCAGTTAGAACGAACCAGTATTCCTTGGATCCTCCTTTCATGATGCCGATATTGTTGATGGTCAGCCAGCCTTTCCGGATGACCTGTGCGGAGGTGCAGCCAGGCACAAGTTTAGTTCATTACTTGGCATAATTCTGCAGTTGCATTCACTAAATAAAGACTTGCTAAGAACAAGTGATTTTTTCAGTCTCTGGCAAATTCAAGAGTTTTTGCAGGTTCCCATCATTCAACAAAAAATATAACAAACCAAAAAAACATTAAAGTGAATATAGTGTTTGCAGTCAAAAGCTTGAAAAAAAGAGAAGCTTAAGCATTATTGTGTTCTACCTACAGCAAGTATGTGTGCATTAAGGATCATGTAAACGTGAAGATATTTATTTGCGGTATAATAACACATTGTAAACGTCCATACAAGTACATGCATGACTAGTCTGTTCTAGTCCAACTGTTAAGACCATTTGTAAAGTTGGATACTAGAAAAAGCACCTACATTCTGGCAAAGTGAGTGGCTTCTGGGATACACTGGGAATTTTCAGAAGTGGTTGAATCAAGTGACAAACTGGAGAGGTCTACTAAAGGTAATTTGAAATTAAGATAAAAAGTGGTAAGAAGAGGTATACGAGACCTGTTTTCCTGTCATAAGGTAGAAGAGGAAAAGAAGAAAAAAAAAATCTAAAATTAAGGTGGCAATAAAAATCGGGGGGGGGGAATGGGCAAAGCAGAACCTTGCAAAATAGATACAAGTCAAAGATGAAAAAGAAGATGGAACAGCATACCTATACATATTAAGGCCTGGAGGCTACATCATACAAAGAGAAAGAGGAACAAAAGAGAACTTAAGAGTAATGAGACAACTCCAGAGGTGAAGAAGAGAGAATGGTCATGAAAACTGGTCTATGGATCATACAGAAGCTTTCAATTTTATTGGAACATTTATTGTTTTCCAATATAATTACAAGAAAGCAAGCTTTCTTTCCTATTATACTCTGAGCAAAACAACAGAATGTTCCCAAACACACAGACGCAGGGAACCTCACCCACCCTGTTTCTCCCAATAGCTACATCCTTTACTTGCCTATGAAGCATTAAGATGGAAAGAAGTGGTCAAAGAAGCCCTTCAGAACTCCCTCAGCAAGTCCCACAAGCATGAACTTGTGTGATCAAACATGAATTTCCTCTTGCTTTTAGAGAAATATGCAAGACCATGACCTTCCTCTCTTAAGATTTTACAAGTCTAGTTACTCCAGTATCAACAACCAACCAGAGAAGAAACATTGCTCAGTATCTATTCCTCGTCATCTATAAGAGTTTCAGAATCATGACTCACTGCCATTCAGCATGCACATTCATGTGAGCTCCCCAAAAAGATAAACTAGCCGGTATTGCAAAGGACTAAGTTATACCTGACAACTAAACCAAAGAAAGGGATGAAGAGTTGCAACTGAAAAGCTGATAAAAGTATTGGCAATGCACATAATCCAAGAGCACCAATTTAATTTCAAATAAGATGATCATGTTTTACCCATTCACTACTAACCAGGCCAGCAATGTAAGAAAACCACTGAAGATCCAAAAAAAGTCTACAGGATTTCTGCCTGTAAGAAAATCGCTAAGAAAGCATTGATTGGGTTCTGAAGAGTCAGTAAGCTATGAAAGAACTTAACAGAACTCCCATAGAGAGACTTGAAGATATAGTACAGGCAGAGTGAATGCAACAGCCTGTACCACAAAGGTTTCTGCAGAAGTTCGTCATTATTTCCAATATTCACGTTCATTGCGGGGGAGGAAGAGGGAAGTGGAGAGAGGACAGTATTGAATACACATAGACATGGAATGCTTGTTTGAGTGCAAGTTGAGGGAAACATACTGATATGAACTTGATTACACATCAAAACCTCATTTTATTTTATGATGTTTATTGAAGTATACTTTTAACAGGAAACAAGCAACATGCACATATAGCCAGTGTACTGGCCTTCAGGCAGCTGCCACAAAACAAGTTGCGGAACCACGCTAATGTCTGGTTTTTTTTCCTGCACCCAACTACACAAGTACAAATGTAAGAGTTTTTAGAAAAAAATCGAGGAAGTTGAAATTCCACAACCACTTAAACTTAGCTCCACAACAAGGTGAGCTATATTTGTACAGCAAACAAAATACTTCACAGCAAATGTACAAACGTGTTTGTTCTCGTGGTATAAAAAAACTGAAATAAGAGGCTGTGCTGTGCAAGAGCATACTGTTGAACCATGCTCTCTGCAATTGAAAATGCTGTGAATGTGAATATGCTTCCTTATAAAGCACATCACATACAGGAAGAACTGGCAGCAGAGCCAGCACACTACTGAAATTGGTTTGGACACACATCTTACAGAGCGTGAAAGAATTTGAAGATGGGTGTATCACAGCAGGGATGAAGAGGTGGTTTCTAGAAGCAAACCAGTAAGAAACACCTGAGTAGCATGTTCTAGAACCTTGCAGGTGATGAGTACTTAAAAGGGAAGCAGCACATTTTGCTTATTCCATCCAGTGCTCTCCCTCACCATTACCAAAGGTTTTGTCGCATGTTAATAAGAATCAAATTTCCTCAGTTTGAGAGGAGTGCATTTGTGGCAGAGGTCTCAGAACAGACCAAGCCACAGTTTTAAAAATCTAAATTACACAAGCCATTTAAAAGTAATGAAACTTTTAACACTTCTCATGTAGGATCTGCATTAGTTGCATAGCTACAAAATACTGTCTTGCTCCAGTCAATGCATCTTCCCATAGATACATAATCATTGTTGGGTGTAGACAGAAACAAACCAACTTGCTGATACAAACATTGGTCACTGTCTTGTAAAGAAAGGAATTTGCCAGTTGTTTCCTCAAAAATCCTGTGTGCTGAGGATTAGAACCAGCTGTCATTCCCACACAACACTGCATGAGAAGCAGGGCACCAAACTATAGTTTATAGTAATATATAAAGATATAAATATGTATATAATATGCAGTATATATAAAATACAATATATAGTGTAATTGTATAATAGATTAATACATTACGTAGTATATATTAATATTATTAGCTATAATAAATTATATTATATATTACATTAATATGTTAAAATATATATAGATACATATGCTAGCTAATATATAAACAAGATATAGTAATATCTTGTTTTTCATGTGCAAATTTCTAGCCTGTTTATCTACACCCCCCTGGGAAAACAGGGTACTATGTTTTCTAAAATATCCTGGACACTACAACAGATTTCACTTATCAAAAAAAAAATCTGAAGCAGTTCCAGGGGACATGAAGAGAGAAGATGGACTTACTACGTTAAACCTCCTTTTCTTTTAATTTAATTGTTCCTGTTTCCCAAGCACATTTTGTTAACTACAAAAAATTACACTTTCAGAATACTCAGTACCAGTGTTGGGGTCAGGAGGGAGGGAGATGTCAAATCAAGGTGTAAGTGCAAACAAAGTGAGATTAAGCAACATAGTTTTATTTTCTGGAGAAGGTGAATTACAACTAAGACACCAGCCAACTTCTCAAATAACTCAAGATATATTTTAGAAAAAATGACCTTCCATGGGCAATAAGCAAAGATTTTCTAAGAGACTTCTGAAATAAAATAAAAAAAATAAAAATCTGATGGGGGTGGTTGTTTTGTTGTTTTGGTTTTGGGGGGGTTTGTTTTTTTTCTTTTTAACTATTGTGTTACCTATGTTGCATAGCACTTCAGCTTGAAAAATAAGTAGTGTGTTTCATTATTGTTTTCACTACTTCATATTCCGGTTGGTTTGGATTGAAGAGATCCATTTCGATATTTTCTATCATATTTCTAAATGTCAATCTGTGCCAACCGGATATTAGCGACATGAGTTGTGCACGTTGGAAAATGAAATATATAGGCATTGCCAGAAGCTAGTGAAGACAATATTCTGACCGGTAGCTGGACTCCATGTACAGGATAAACAAGAGATGACACAGTTCCTTCCTTCAGGGTCCTGATACCTAAATCTGGGTGTCTGAAATAATGAAACTTAGAGAGTACGAATGCACATGAACAAGCCAAAAGGAAGTCATATTCTGATAGTTCAGCTGCACAAGACCCAAATCATATCTGTTGTTCCTATTCTCCAGCAGTTCACGTATAAACAGGAAACCAGGATTTGACTCAATAAGTACATTTTATGTATTCTTGCATGACTTACTAATTCCATTCCAAATAAGTATTTATAAAAGAAATACATTAGAGAACCAAATTGAAAGAAGTATATGGAAGATGATTCCAAGAAAAGAAAGAGATAAGTGAAATTAACTGGACAGACAGAACTGTAAGTGTGAAAATCAGGAGACTAGCTACTTCCATAATACAAGCAACAGCATTTGTTGAGCTAACAAAACTCTCTATTAAAGTTCTGTTAAATAACTCCATGGAAATAATTTTGAACACACAACTCCCAGCACTATCCAGTCTTCTAATCACTGTCATAGCAATATGCGTTACCAAATAGTAAGCACATTGGAAGAATAAAAAATGCACAAACTACAAGGCTTCCTCACAAGCTAGTGGTTCTTTGGGTTAGTTTATTAAGATTCTCACACTTCATAGGCTAAAAAGGAGCAACAGATTAGAAGGAAATCCTAATACACTACTTCACTGTAATTTGCCGAAGGTCAGAATGTAAATTGATCAGATCTGTTCCAATAAGGAGCAAAACCGAGATTTTGTGATATTGCCTCCCCCAGACATCACTGCACAATATATTGCATAACTTAAAAAATGACAACGGTGGCTTAAGTCCTAAAAACATGTCTATTTTAAGGAAAAATAAAAGTCTTTACTGAAGCAAAGCACTTGGTAGTGAAAAACTGAAACAAGCTTCCAAATGTAGTTAAGCAAAGATTAAGGTGATCAAGTCAATCATGAAGGAATCTTAACCTAAAATATAAGTATAGTTAAAGGCCATTTAGAAGAGCAATGCTTCTCTAATCTTGATAAGGTGAAAATTCAACAGCAGCATGTCTCATTCAAGGATATTTCAAAGTTTACCATCACATGGTTGTCTGCAGGCACCACCTCTTTTACAGAAACACTGTCATTTCTTAACAGAACAGCCTTCTCATTATTTCTCATGACCAAGGCACAAGTTTCCATTTCCACCTACTTGCTAAAAAGAATAAATAAAAATATTCTGTTTATATAATTTTCCTGGGTCATGCAAAATACCAGGATTAAAGTGTATCTCAAGAAAAGAAGCAGTAAAGTATGCTACAAAGCAGGGTTAAAAAGAAAAAAGGAAAAGGGTTACTAAGGTAAAAGTTATTAGCACTACAGTTTAGGCCAACTGATGGGGTCTGCATGCTACCTGTGTCCAGAACAAGTGAATCAGATTGCTGGCGTAACATTGTAGAAGAGCAAATCAAAGACTTCAAAACCAAATCTCCAAATAACTTGGACAGTGACTTGAAACTTTCAATTCAGATTAAGCCCCTTCTCCAACTTCAGGGGTTACTTCAGATTTTACCACAGAAATAAAACACAAAACATAATTTCATATAAATTTTATACATTTCTCTGTAATTTGAGTATCTTGCATTCTCACACAGAGAGTATTGATTGGGCACATGGAGCAATGACACCTTCATCTTCAAAAGTTTATCATGATGGGGAGCTTTAAACACAATTTCAGTCATCAAAACAAATCTCAACACACAAAATATAGTTAAGAGTGTCAGCTTTCAGGAACCAGATCTTGCTAGCATGATGTGTAAAAACAAGCATTACATTGATTATTTCAAGCAAATTAGAAGACAGACTAACCTGTGGCTTAAAAAGAAACTTTGTGGAGTCAGGTCAAAACCTCAGGCGGTAGCAAAGAAAACACAAACAAAAAAGGCCAAAGATTAAGCGTGAGAGGATAAATTAGTAGACGAAAGAGAAGCAAGAACATGCTAAGAGGAATTGGCATTACACTTCTTCCAAAAATGCAATATTGCTGCACTCATCTGATTTCTGAGACACACAGTTAATGGTTATCTGCATCATTCTAGTTTAAGGCAAGCTACAAAAAAAGGAAAGCAATGGATAGTAAATGAGCATCCCACTATTTTGGAAAAATAATGATCTTGATCTCCCAAGAGATTAAATTCAAGTGCTACTGAAATCAGTGCTGCCTTGTCCTGTTTCCTTTATTGAACATAAGTCTAGTTCAAGTTTATTTGAAGTTACAACTAACACAATTTGGTGATTGATAACCGGAAAATTATGTTTTTATCATAGGTATTACTAATGAATCCACATGATAGAGATTTACTTCTTACACCTAAACATCAGTAAACCAAAAGTAACTTGTTATAAAATTGACTACTGTTTAGACAATTAATTCTAATTAGTAATATTAAAGGCATTCATGTATTTATTTACTCATGAAGTGGAAGGGTTAGAAAAGAGTCCATCCATGACATATTGATCCTGCTGGTGCTATGAAAAGAATGCTAAAAGGGCTTTATGTATTCCTAATATTATTAATAAACTCACTTATTCTATCAGAAGCAATTCCTTTACATAAACAAAATAACAAAATCAGTACCTGTACCCACAAATAGCACATTCATTTACGCAAGAGGTAATGTTTTCTTTTGGTTACCAGAAACTTATTTGCCCACCTTTCAAAAAGAGGTTTACTATGAATAGAGGCACTCACATCAGACAAAAATTTCTTTCCAGTTATATAATAAACAGGAATTAGTTGGTTTAGTTTGAGAAACTCAGTACATTATAAAAATATTAAATTTATTTGAAGTTTTCTACAACATTTTAAGTTATATTAGTTCATACTTGTAACAGCAAGTTAGTAGCAGTTAAGTGATGAACTGCAATTATACTTTGTTGAGGAAGTGTTACAGCCAAGACAGTTTAACATTAAATAGTTAGGTAGCAAGTATTCACCAAACCAATGAGTTAGAGACAAACTTTGCCCTCTGAGAAGCTAAATGGAAAAGCAACAATAAAGCTTACAGAACTTAGCTCGTACAATTTGCCTTGAAGGCGGTAGATTGGTTCCCTGAAATAGCAAATTGCAGAAATGAAGTTTTATTTCAGAAACATTTTCTCATTCTTTCAACTCCAAACAATTAACTTTCAAACATCTGTTTGTTATCTTTAAAATAAAAGGTTCAGCAAAGTCCATTATGCCACAAATTATCAAGTTTCAACATTTAAAATGCCAAGCTTTTTCTCCACTTCTTTAGAGAGAGAACATTCACTTAATTAAAAAATCATTCACTTTATTTGTATATTTTTGAAGACTCTGATAATTAGTTGATTTTCCTTTAATGGGACACTCCAGAGTGATGACGGTCGTTGTGTTTGACACGTGTTCCGGCAGGGCTAGATAAGAAAGAAATCTCTCCTTAGAGGGGAGAGTCTAGTCTTTGAAGTCCTTTCAGTGTTTAGACCCTTCAACTTTTTTCATTTGAGTCCAAACCATACATTACATCAAAAATACCAGTCATGCTGGTCAGGCTGTGGAGGACCACCACATCCAAGAAGCTGATGGATTATTTTGAATAACAACTCAAAAATAACTATCAATTTCTTGGTGGAAGGAAGATGTTGGATTTCTATCCCCCAAAAAGCTGAGTACATTTTCAAAAAATGCTAGAACTGTCATCTACAGCAGCAGAATAGGAGACTTTCTGCAATGTCAGGTTTACCAGCTGAGGGATCCAAATTCAGTGGTCAGATTTGAAAACCTTGACCTTTGACCTCCTGAGCACTGTTTGACCAAATTGCACATGAAAACATCAGGAAGATGTTCAATACCAGTAATTATTCATACAAGATGCCATTGTCTTATTTTTCCTAGAATTTGTTAGCTCCTTTTAAAGTATGCAGTAACTCCATAGCATTTCATTTCTGTTTAAGACTTTGCAAAACCCTCAAAGTGAGCAGAAAACAAGGTTGTAACATTTTCATTATTTTCATCTCATATAAAAAAAGAGGACTGATCCTGTGAAGTACTGAGCACTGCTGGCCCACACAAAAGCAAAGAAAGAAGCAACGCTCAGAAGCACTTAACATGCTGCAGAATCAACCCCATATTCTTATATAAGAAACAACTCATTTCATTAATGAATAAATAATAATTAATCAGAAACAATCCACCAGTTATTCTTTGTTTACTTTGAGAAAGGCCTGTGATACATAGCCAAAATCTTTGTGAAGTCAACTGAAAGTTTTCAGAAGAGCTGAAGGCAAATTCACTTTTGCTTGATGAATTGCCCGCCCCTTCACTGCAATTAAGGTATGAACATGTAAGAATGAGTAAAATGACCATCAGAAGGCACACACAAGCAAGTACTCACCAGCATTTTGGATTCTGAAATTCAGAAATTTGCAGTTAATGACAAAACACATTGATGTGTAACATGAAAGATACAATGCACTAAATGGCATGGGAGGGGAGACACTAACCAGCAGTGTGAGCAGCAGCACAAATATTAAACAATAAACAATGGTAACAGTGAGAGTCAGGTGGCTCTGAAAAATTCAGTAAAAGAAGGCAGTGATTTGATGATGCATTTTATGTTTGAAGCAGAAAAGGTGAATGATACAACAAATTAACGCAGCCAAGAAAACCAAACAGCTTGGATTAACTTGCACATGCTATTATCCATTCTTTGTTAGGTGCCTACCTGATTTCCCACTGCACTTTTGTTAACCTGACTGCTTCTTTGTTGGGCACTAAGGGAAGCAGAGGAAAAGAGTTACACTGAAGAAACTCAAACCAGTTCCCCAGGAACAGAATTTAGCAGTAACAGTTACTTCTGATTCTAGCACAGAAAGCTAGAGCAAGGTAGAAACACAGCAAAATTGTTGCATATATGTGCATATTTCAACTACCTTTTCTTACAGCATAGGAATGCCTGCTTATATGTGCCTGCTCAGGACAAAAGGGAAATGCACAGCAGACAGCTCCTACTATCATCTCCTTTGCAACGTCATCCTACTTGGACTGGTAAAGATTACTAGAAGCACAGAGAAATTGTGGCTCATGTGCTTAACTTGGGAAACATTAGCCTCTATAAATACTCAAAAGAGACAAAAAGCAAGCCATTTCTTTTACTTAGTGCAATACAATAAAATCCTCCCCTGCTGGAGGCTCCTTAATAACTTTGTCTTGATGGTTTGTTTTGGATATTATTCTAATATTTATATGCACTTTGAGGATGTAAATATAACCACAGATTAAGCTGTCACAAAGCTGGTTCAAAAAGCTGGAATAGTATAGAACAAAACATATTTAAAATTAAATCATATTTAAAATATTTTGCTTAATTTTTGAACTCTGGTAATCCCAGTTCCTGAAACAATACACACTCCTGTCTTAAGAACATAAAGTTGCCATTAATTGTAAAAGCATTTGCATTATGTGGTGGTTTGTAAGTGTTAGGCCACAACATTAAAATACTACTGGAAAGTGGAAGAAAAGCATTCAGAAAGCAGGCTTTGGCTACTCAACCACCACAGTGGCCACTGGCACCAGAAAGTTTTGTTTGGATTAGATTACACCATTTCTCCAGGCACTGATTAACTAAGAAAAAAGTATACATATTAACCAGCTACAAACACTGCTCTGAAAGAGTAAGAAGGATGCCCTTCACAGCCTATGGGCCAATCCTGCAACTGCATTGTGTATAGCTGCTGTTCCAAAGAATTGCTGAAGCACCAAGCTCAACCCTGTCTCAATTCTGATCCTGCCCTGCAGACCATACTTTATCAACCCAGCAGCCCAAATGCTGTTCACAGGAAAATCCACAAGGATGTTTATTTCATATGCTTGTTCACTGGACTTAGCTCTCAATCATCCAGGCCTTCTGGCAAATAACACTGCATGCCTCTGGTGCATCATCCAGAGTTGCACAAGCTTTGGTGCATAAATTATGACTAAATACCAAATAACGTGCACACAGAAAACACAGCACTAATCTCTCACCAATTCCAATCTGTTGTTTAAAAAACACACAAGATGGTTTAGGAAACCTAATTGCCATTCAGTTTGTTTTCTGTTTGTCCATTTTGTTTCTTTTTTCTTGCTCTTTTGGTTTTGTTTGGTTGCAGCTTTTCTTATTTTGTCACCTTAGGGACGCTGATTAGACCACTAACATCATACTTCAAACCCCAGGCCCTTCAGACAGCAATTTGTCCTCTATTAACTGTTTTAAATACAAATTACTGTCTATGTAGATTAAAGCACGTAGCTATGCCTGAGTTACACCAACTGGAACCAAACCTTATTCCAACATTTTGCCACTTGCTCTGCTAAATGAGACCAACATTAATATTCCAATTTCATCATTTCGTAACTATGCAAAGTTATTCTAAATACTGGCATTCTTAAGTCCTTCTCAAGTCAATTCAATTCTCACTGTACCTGTCTTAGGCCCCACAACATATTTTGAAATGTCTTGTACTCTCATTCTTATGAGCAGGGTTCACAGGACTTACTCTTACAAAACACTGCAGTCACATGAGACAACTGGCTGGAAGACTCAGCTAAAGAAAGGAAACACTAAGGAATCTGGGGAATCTATAGTCCAGGGTGATTAGATATTGCAGAAAATTCTTTTCTTTACCCCAAAATTATTATATTTTCCGATTTTAACACAATTGCTGTAACAGCAATATGGTTATAGTTTAAAATGTGTATTTTCAACTGTTTAGCTTATTCATTAGTATATTTTATGTTTTACATTCTTCTTAGTTATCCAAGTTCTCTTCCAACTGAGCACAAGTCAGCAAAGATACTTCCCTTCCCATCCCTACAGAAACACTTGCTTAAACTTATCAGTGACCATAAGCAAAGAGCCATTTGTTAATCTGTTTATACCTCATTCATAGCAGCTGGGAATTTCTAGATCCCAACCGGCAAAAGAAGCAGCAAGTTTCTCAAAACATTTATCTTGGGCATTGCAACTCCTTGAAAAAGACACAGCAGTGAGGACCACAGACTGAACTGCAAGCCCCAGCAGCAGCATCCATGAAGGCAATTTCTCCAGGGGAGAGACATAATGAAATATCTCCAGATACACTTTGCTCTCCAGAATCCAAGACTATAATACATGGAAGGTTCCATCTTGACACAAGGAGAAGTCTTTTCACAGTGAGGAGAGGTAAGCTTTGGAGCAGGCTGCATAGAGAAGCTGAAGAACCTCTGATTTTGGAAGTTTTCCAGATCTGATTGGACAAAGCCTTCAGTAACATGGTCTGAACTCAGCACTGACCCTCCTCTGAGCAGGAGGTTGGACTATGTGACTTCCCAAGGTCACAACACACACCATGAATATATATGGAGTGTTTTTAGCAGGCTTTTTCCTGTCAGAAAAGGATGAAGAGAAGTAAATAGTAGGCAGGTTGTTATCTTGACCTCTAGAAGGCCAGCTACCATTCCTACAACATCCTGTCATTTGTCAAGAAAACTGATAAAGATATCTAGGACCTGCAAACAATTCTAGAGAAAGTTGCTCAAACCAAACACATAAACAGTGCTTGGCCTTGCCTTCTCCCCCCTGTCAGCTTAGTGAACTCCACATTTTAAACCTTCAAGGCATACTGGCAAAGATGTAGACCTTCCTCCACAGTCTTAACTAGAATAGACCATATTGTGATATGTACTGTGGTGCCAAACTTTGTTGCCAGCATCCCACATGGATGAAACCTGCTATGATTCCAAACACTGTTACGGAAAATATGGCATGAATATGATTGAAGAACAATTATTCTTCAAATAGTGAAGACATCCTTAACATTTTTACTAATGCCAAAATGTTGGTATGAAGTCCCTTAAGCACAAATTGCTGGAAGCTGAGAGAGCACATTCTGGAAAATATTCTTACAGCTTTTTCAATTAAGTAAGAACGTCAAACCAGGCCCTGCAGGGCATTCTGCTACTATTATTCTCTACAGCCAAACAGCAGGCACACGTATAATTCAGTGACATCCATTACTCTGAGTAAAACCATTTCACACAGAATCACAGCTCCCAAAATATGCAATAGCAACATTGTGGAAAGACCACCAATATTATACATTTCTGTGGTCCAAAAATGGATACAGCAACATCAGCTTGACAAAGCTGCTTCCCGAGAAGCATGTGATTCCAGACCAAGACATAAGCTTCAGCTTCAGTAAAACCAGGCTTGTGAACTGGGGTAAAGAGTCCCCTACAGGCGTAACAGATTTTAGCAGTGTGTATACTGAGAAAGCATGTCTGGGACTTGGGAGCTTACATCTTCACTGTCCCACTTCAGAACTTGAGTTCTGAACATCCCAAAACTATATTAAAAAAAAAGGAGGAAGAAAAAAACCAAAACAAACAAACAACAAAAAAAAAAAAAAACAAAACAAACCTGACAGTGTCTTTATCAGAAAATCTCCATATACATACTTTGCAAAGCCAATGAAGTCTTCATGGTTGGTGTTGATGTAAGAAACCTGAATATCAATCAGCAGCAGCACCTATTAGGGAGACAGAAGAGGAAAAAAAGGATGGGTAAAATGGAGGCAAGAGATTGAGGAAAAGGGAGAGAGAAAAATAGCAGAACTTCTCAGGTTTTTGAATTACTGAATATTACTTTCATAATCATTCAAGCCTAAAGCAATATTTTCTAAATCCCACTACTTCTGGTCATGTGCTTGTTTACTAAGCTGGACTACAAAAGAGCTATTCCTTCTTACTATTTTTTTCCCTGATAGTTTTCATTTTTCACTATCTTGGCACTTGTCCACTTCATTAAAATGAGTCACACATGGCCAGAGAGATTTTAATAATATATAACATAAATTCTAGCTCTATGTTTTACAAGTTAAGCAAAATTCTAATTCAGCAAAGAGCTTGCTAAAATGTTAGAGAAAGCTCAACTCCCACCCTTGAACAGCTTCTTGAACATGTATAACACTGCAGTTTCCCCCCATTTTTTCTGACTTCCATTTATCAGGAAGAAGCAATGACGAAATCTATCACTACCAAACAGTAGCATTTAACCTCAATAAAGTGTACAGAGGTAGTTTTGTACAACTCCTCAAACACTGCATCACTCCCAAATTCTTCAAACTTCCAGAAGGTATCAGGTGCCTCACTCAGAAGCAAAAGACAGTGAGGATTTGGGTTTAGCTCTTACCTCAGAAAATATTCTCACTAGTGTTCTATTAACAAGAACTGCTAACAGCATGAATAATGATGGGAATATTTCTCAATAACCTATTTGGTCAACTCTCTGCATTTACAGAAAGCTGATACTTTCTACTTTGTTCTAGGAAATTGCCAGGTATGTGCACACAATGAAGAATGGAATAATAAATAAATAAATAAATAAAGTACTCAATTGTTCTAAGTAACTTGTATCTTTTTCCAACTGAGAGCGCTACCTAGAACTCCCTGCAAGCACAAGCCCAGCAAACACAAGTTTTTAAAGTTACTTTTAAGTCTACATTCACAGCAGAGATTAAACAAAAAGATGCAGGGCACACTGTATAGCTCCCTAGCTCACACACGGACAGGACTAGAGAGCCAAGAGTCCAGAACAACTTAGGAGCTCTGCCTAGCCCTTCTTCCCCCAAATTTTCTGTTTTCACACTCTGCACTCCCCAGACAGTAATTCTTGTTTCCACTTCCAGAGGTTTTTCTTAGCATAATCTAACCTTCAAAGTTTCCTGGATTTGGAGTGCTTAGCTAGGTAATGAATGCTGGGGGGTTGGGGGTGGTTAAACTTTTTTTAAACTTGAAGGAAAGCCTGTCAGTCCCACAAGAGTCCCAGTTACAACTGATTGTGGGCCTGACTGCAATTAGAATATGGGATGGATATGTTAAAAAAAACTGGAAACAAAGTAGATATTGGAAATCAGGATTTCCTGTAACAATTCTAGTCTCATCTGTCAAAGCTCTATGGTAGAGGAGCAATTCCTCTCCCCCTCTAAAATGTGAAGCCTGCTGAATACAAAAACAAGCAAACAAACAAAAAATGCCAATAAAAATCTTCCATTGTCTTGTACTTTTTACGCAAGAACTTTCCTCCTGTCACAGTTTAAGCCAAAACCAGGACACGTCCTTCACACACTTCCCCAAACGATCTAGTCTCACCTGATCCTTGGTCTTCTCTTCTCTTTCACGAATGTAACCAGCAACAATTCTTTCTGTTTCCTCACACAACCTTGGGTATGTTGCCAACTGAAAAGCAAAACTAAGGTTTCAATTTGACACAAGGAAAATTCTTTTCAACAGTGAGGAGAGGCAAGCATTGGAATAAGCTGTATAGAGAAGCTGGAGAATCTTTGATTTTGAAAGTTTTCCAGATCTGATGGAACAACTGGAAATTTACACCTGCATGGTGGCTTCAGTAGAATACAAACAGGGAATTCTCCAGCTTTCCTCTTTGGAGGAAAGTAATTATTATAAATGCTGGGGCTAAAAGTTAACTACATTACAAAATAAGCCTTACTTGCTATTAATGGCCATTTCCCAGAGAAACTGGAGACACCTAAATTCTTGGATTTTTTTCTATGTTTTTGCTCCACAAAACATTGAGGAAAACACATTTTGGACATGTGAACCACAATTCATCAGCCTTGGCGTGAGGTTTCTCCATGCCTCTCTTTTCTACTATGCCTAATTCCAGAGTAGCACTTTAAATGATTTCCAGATTTCTTATTCTTTAAAGGCTCCATCTTGTGGCAAGATCTTTACATCTGAACAGCAATACTTGAAAACGTTGTTGCCGAATGCAACAGTAAATTTGGCCAATAGCACTGGGAAAAAGAATCTGCATAATCAATTCAAGTGACATATCTTTCAAATTTTGACAGAAGTGAAAAAAACTGGAAACACTGCACAAAATATTTCAGTGAATCTGTTTATGACCTTAGTCAAAAAGATTTTCACCTTTTCCTGTTCAAAGAAACAGCTCATTAACCCGATCACTGGTACAAAAATAATTTGCATTATTCAGAAAAATGCAAAGGATGTGACAGGCTATTTCTCAACAGCTTCAGCATACTTGTGTTCACATCCCAAAACTGGTCCTATATTTGCTACTGTTAGGGTGCCGTGCACTCTGAAATGGTGGGAAAGACAGAGGAACAGAAAATGAGACAATAAAAGTAGCCAGGTTAGCTAAGAAGTCTACAAGAAACAATGGGGTCCTCTACAATATCACAGATTAATGGGAGAAAAGAGAATTGAAAATCATCAACTGTTAGTTGTCAATGCTCCAGACAAGTGAGAATCAATATTTGCAGATGACAACTTTCCTATGAAGGTGAAAGGTGTGAGGAAAAAAAAAAATAGAAAAAAAGATTTGTATTAATGTGTCTGAGATGCTTCCTTAGCCCCTGCTGTGGGGTGTGAAGCTTGAGATTTCATTCTGTCCAGCTGGAGACCAGTAACGAGTGGTGTCCCTCAGGGATCGGTGTTGGGACCGGTCTTGTTTAACATCTTCGTCGCTGACACAGACAGTGGGATTGAGCGCGCCCTCAGCAAGTTTGCCGATGACACCAAGCTGTGTGGTTCAGTTGATACGATGGAGGGAAGGAATGCCATCCAGAGGGACCTTGACACGCTTGTGAGCTGGGCTGATGCCAACCTCATGAAGTTTAACCATGACAAGTGCAAGGTCCTATACCTGGGTTGTAGCAACCCCAGGCACAGCTACAGGCTGGGCAAAGAGATTCAGAGCAGCCCTGAGGAGAAGGACTTGGGGGTGCTGGTTGATGAGAAAATGAACATGAGCTGGCAGTGTGTGTCTGCAGCCCAGAAAGCCAACCGTATCCTGGGCTACATCGAAAGGAGCGTGACCAGCAGGTCAAAGGAGGTGATCCTGCCCCTCTACTCTGCTCCTGTGAGACCTCACCTGGAATATTGTGTGCAGTTCTGGTGTCCTCAACATAAAAAAGACATGGAACTGTTGGAACAAGTCCAGAGGAGGGCCACGAGGATGATCAGGGGATTGGAGCACCTCCTGTATGAAGACAGGCTGAGGAAGTTGGGGCTGTTCAGCCTAGAGAAGAGAAGGCTATATGGAGACCTCATAGCAGCCTTCCAGTATCTGAAGGGGGACTATAGGGATGCTGGGGAGGGACTCTTCATTAGGGACTGTAGTGATAGGAGTAAGGGTAATGGGTTAAACTTAAACAGGAGAAGTTTAGATTGGATATAAGGAGGAAATTCTTTCCTGTTAGGGTGGTGAGGCACTGGAATAGGCTGCCCAGGGAGGTTGTGAATGCTCCATCCCTGGCAGTGTTCAAGGCCAGGTTGGACGAGGCCTTGGGTGATATGGTTTAGTGTGAGGTGTTCCTGCCCACAGCAGGAGGCTGGAACTTGATGATCTTAAGGTCCTTTCCAACCCTAACTATTCTATGATTCTATGATTCTACAGGTATAGACCAACCTAAGCACACACTTCAGAAAACCATTCTCAAGACTCATAGTACTGCCATGTTTAGTTCTGATAAACATATTTCTTAACTTATTACACCTGCAGGATCTCAAGGTAAAACTTTAATTGCTGCACACAGCTTTCACATCAGGAATTTCAATGCTCAGCAGTTCTTTGCACTTAAGTGTTCGACATTTCTGTGCAGCAAGCTCATTTGTCAACACTAATAGAAGAACATACAAATACAAGGGAGATGAAGTCTTCCTAGCCTTCCACTTCTAACTTCTTGACAGCTGGAGGTCAGATATTTTGGAGTTGTGCATGAAAAAAGCACAGGAAAATTTGTGGACCCATTACATTGCAAAGAACTGTGGTGCTGCTCAGTAAATTTCAATACAGAAAGAGCATTTTTCTCTCCTTGACAGATGTCTCTGAACACATTTGAGGTCTTTTCTCTATAAAAGTTTTGCCATTTCTTTCTCTTATTGCAACTCTTGACTCAAAAAAACCCATCCAATCACAAGCTGTATATATGTTCAAAACACAGGAATAAAAAAATATTTCCAGCATTGCATTGTTTTGAAAGTTTTGCAGAAGTTGTAATTACTTAAGACAGTCTTACTCTGTATGTCAAGTGACTCAGTCAGAAACCTCTTAGAATACCTTAACAAGCAAGATAGACTTTGTTATCTACTATAACATTACGTTATATTTGCATTACAAGATCTATTTGCAAATTACCTTTTTAGTGCACTTTTTGACAGTGTTGATTAACTCTTGCATCACCAGATCCACACTTTTTAAGCAAGGTCCTTTCAGCTTGACTATCTGCTTCTTAACAATGGCTTCAAATGCCATATCTGGAGTGAACAAACCTGTTCTGTGAACATAAAAGAATATGTAAGACAGTAATAAAAGCATTGTGCAAGGCAGTTATTTTTACTGAATTGCTCATATCTTCATTTTCAGGGGCTAGCAGATGAGTAATAATCCCTACACAAACAGACTTCCATAGAACTAAATTTGCTCCTTTCTCTAAAAAGGTGTCATTGTGAGTAAGAATATAAAAGTAGAAAGATGCCCTACAACTCAAAGATGACTGTGAGAACTCTAAAGAGTACTGACGGAATACAGTAAGACCTATTCGGCAGTGCATTAAACTTCAGAGAAGGGATGAATGGCAGCTGCAGCACTCCACCCACGATCACTTGCATAGCAATCCTGTAAGACTCCTACAGCCGCACCTTTTACTCACAACAGGAAATAAGGTTCTATTACTCAGAGTACTATATGGATGATTTCACAGTGGTCACTGCATGTTATATGAACCTATATAACAGATACCATACAGAACCAGTTCTAAACAAACAGGCCTTACTTCTCTTTCAAACGCTGCTTACAAGGGCCTGTCTTGGTAGATACATCATATAGAAAAAGCAGACTATAAACAAATGCCCCAGACTATCAGTTCACTACCATAAATGGCTCAACAAGACCTTTCCATCAATAAGGAAAACTCCAGAAAAGTTGTAATGCTGCACCATGGTTACTAGAGTCAACCATCTGAGAATGTACTACACAAGTAACGCAAACAACATTTTTCAAAATACCAAGAACAACCAAGTTTGTAAGCAATGCTTTCAAAAAGTATTATGTACTCACAAGACTGGGTGAAGCGGAAGGAACAACAAAAAAAACACAAAATACCTAAAAACCCACAGAAGACCCTAAGATTTTTGGAATCTGTTCTATTGTCAAAAGAATAGAACAGAAAAATGGGCATGCTTCTGATAAAATGTCACTCCAAAATAGACTGAACATTCCAAAGTGAGATAATTAAGTCATTCCAAACCAAAAAACTAAATATCTCCTCTTCCCAAACCTAATAATATACTGCAGAGATATCCACAAAAGGAAACCTCAACCAACTCATTTGCAAATCAGTCATTTCAAGAAATGGTTGAAAATAAAAGCGAGTAAGATAACACAAGGAATCTGCCACAATTCAGGCTGAAAAGCTTTTCCATATCAAGACACAAGTTTTCCCTCTAAAATTTATGACTTTTTAGGAATACAGGCATAACAGAACTGCAGACACTACCAGAAAAAAAAGCTATTCTTTTCTTTGTAAAATAATTTTCCATCATTTCCGAGTAAATTAAACCTCAGGCAAACCAACTGGCTCAAAATAGCTACCGGAAAAATAGATATGTAAAGGAATGGAATAAAAAAGTCAGCTGCTGGGAATAGCGCATCACTAACATAGTCTAGCAGTCAGCAGTCAGTGTGGCCTCAGGTTAGAAAGACCACAAGCCTCTAAAATGCGACTGGGCTTGAAAACATGGGAGCACTTGCCTGATACCATGTATGTTCTTGATGGCATAACTTATTTCTCTCCGCAGTTCCTTCTCATTGAATTCCATCTAGAGGAACAAAAGCATATGAGATCATATTGGAGTGGTTTTTAACAATACAGAAAATGTTACCTCTCCAATATAACTAGAAGACAGGCAAGTTCAACTGGCAAAATATTCATTTCTAATGCCCCTGAACAAAACATAAGTATTATAAAACATTTAAACATTAAGGCAGCAGTAAAGATTGTTGAAAATCATGCACCCTTCCATTCCAGACATATCACCACTTGGAACAATTTCACAGAGTTGATAGAATGTGCCACAAACAGGATTTGGGAAATGCAATTCTTTTTTAAGCTTGGTTTCTTGAAGTGGTGCAATTTCTGTGATTATGGTCTGTTTATCCTCCCCTTCCCATTCTACTGTTATTTAACCAAACTTAAGAGAGGAGTGGTCTCAGTTATAAATTTAATAAAGCTTTTATTTAAGTTTCTTGCAAGCCAGCCAGGTGGAAGTTAGTGTTATCACGAACAAAAGGGTCATTACTTAAGCCCAACTATCATCTGTTCTGTTGGACTCTTAGTTGACCTATCACCTACACTGAAACCTTGGAACCAGCCAAAACTCACTCTGGTTCTTACCCAACTTAAACTTAGGGGATATCGAAGCTGAACATAAAACACTTCAGGAGGAAGCTTATGAAAAATGTGAAAAAAACCACCAAAAAATGTAGCCTAGAGATACAGTAGAGTCCATGGTGAGGGGGTAGAGAGGATCAAAGAATATGCAACACATTTATAGGAAACCTGATTTCATTAGTTCACATTCAACTGGACTTTTGTTTATTCTGTTACACAAAGGTAACAACAAAAGATATACCAAGATGAGAAATGCTTTCTCAAAACACCAAGTTTTGTTCTGCTTGACCTACCACTATGAAAGCTAGCTTTGATTTAATGCACTGAATAAAGGAATTAGAAAACATAAGAAACAACTGTTTTCCATAACTCTAATTTTAATAGGTACTAGCTACTTGAACACAATAATTTAAATTTACCAATTGTAGTTGTTTGCCTGCTCCATCTAACCAAAAGGAAGATGCTATTTGTGATAAAACAATAAAAGAACAAGGAAAATAGTAAGAACTGGAACTAATGATTATATTCTAATTCCAATATTTGAGAATTCTTAGCATGTATCAGTATCCAAAGCTAGAAACAAAGCCAAATGTCTCACTTATAACTTCCTGTAACTCCTTCTACAAGTAAGAGTGTATTCTTTCTATCAGACCTTAATCTTGGCTCTACTTCTATCAGTATGAACATAAGAATATATAAATGAAAAACAAAGCACACCAGCAAGATGGATAAATACCTTTACTAGTTCAAAAGGAAAACGTTCATGGAAAATACGATTGATTTTGGCACCTCCTGAAAGTTCTAATGTATCAACCTGATCTCCTGATCCTTCGATTCTTTTTTCGAAGTCCACTGAAAACTGTTGCACCATCCTAAATTTCAAAGGTGGGGAGAGAAGTAAAATTTAAAAAATAAAATACAATAAAAAAAATCATAATAGAAATGTGGTAACAATCATACAAGAGAGAAGTGCTAGGCACATTTCAGATCTTTTTCTTACTTTAGATGCTTCCTCTTTGAAGGGGTAAATTTGAATCACATATGAACACAGAAGCAAAAAGGGGAGGGAGAGATAAAATGGCAGACCTTTCAGGTGAAAAGGAGCACAATATTGAGTATCAAGCATCCCTGGAAACAGGCCAAGGAAGGAAGCTGCATGAAGCATTGCCCTTCTTCCTTAGTGTTAAAACCATAATAAAAGATTCCACTTCCATGATTCAAAGTCAGATTAACACTCATCTCTGTTCTATCACTTAACAATAACGTTATCAAAGCCTCAGTAGACAGACTTATTTTGTGGATGAAACCAAAACTGGACAGTGACTTTAGCAGTGTAATTCCTCCAACAAACAACAACAGTATTCAATCCATGACTCCTTGAGCCCAAAAGGGTCAACATCTGCCAGGTCAGTTTTAAAACAAAGCACAGGTGGCACATCACATCACATGACATTTTGCTGTTAGTTGTCAGAGGTATCGTCAGAGAGGCAAACCGCAACAAAGTGGTTTTCACTCACCCCAATACACTCTCACTTAAACATTAAGAATGCCTGCACTAAAGCAGAACAAAGACCATATCATGGCAGTCACCAACAATAAGTTCCTATGAGAACAGAGCAAGCACACAGTAATATTTCTCCAGAAAACTCTCTTGGCCTCAAATTGTTCTTAATTCCATACAGCAGCAATCTGTCCTTGTACTTAGTAACCTTCAATGTATTCCCCATGTCAAAAATGTTCCTAGTTAGAATCATAGAATAGTTAGGGTTGGAAAGGACCTTAAGATCGTCAAGTTCCAACCCCCCTGCCATGGGCAGGGACACCTCGCTCTAAAAGTTGCTTTTGGAAAGCACACAAACTTTTAGTATCAGTTCCTGCAGCAAAGAGCTCTCTGTAGCTTAGGTGCACATTAATCATAGGTGCTAGTCCTCCTTGTAGTTTTCATCTTGCCATCTTCGAGGTCTGTGCTGCTCATCTTTGTACCTTTTCCTGTTCTGCTTTCTCTCTTTTCTAGGATTACTAAAATTAATTTAGGGGAAACTCTGCTGAAATTGTAGGGTAAATAAAGTGTTCTGGAACATCAAGCACAGAATTCTTTGCATCTTGAAGACAGAATCCTTAACCATATCCAAATCTTTAAATTTAAAGCCGTTACAAACGAAAAGAAATTAAAAAGAGGCAAAACGAATTTATACAAACTAGAAAATCAGACAAAAGACCACTCACTGCAACAGGGCTTTAGTTTTTCTGGTTGGATCTTCTGGTCTGAAGTTTTTGTATACCTCTACTTCATGTTCTATAGAAAGCAGCTGATTCTGAAGTTTGCTTCTGAAGGCTGGCAGGGTATCCCGAATATGATTGGTAAGTTGCTAAAAAGCAAATAAAAGTCCTTTTTACTGTTAACAGAAAGCTGGAGCACAACCATCTCCTTCTGGTGCCAAGCACATTATAGAATCATAGAATGGTTACAGTTGGAAACGACTTTAAGATCACATAATTGCAACCCCACCGTCCATGAGCAGGGACACCTCACAGTAGACCATGTCACCCCAAGGCTCTGTCCAACCTGACCTTGAACACCACCAGGGATGGAGCATTCACAACTTCCCTGGGCAACCCATTCCAGTGCCTCACCACCCTAACAGGAAAGAATTTCCTCCTTATATCCAATCTAAACTTCCCGTTTAAGTTTTGACCCATTACCCCTTGTCCTGTCACTACAGTCCCTAATGAAGAGTCCCTCCCCAGCATCCCTATAGTCCCCCTTCAGATACTAGAAGGCTGCTATGAGGTCTCCACGCAGCCTTCTCTTCTCTAGGCTGAACAGCCCCAACTTTCTCAGCTGATCTTCATATGGGAGGTGCTCCAGTCCCCTGATCATCCTCGTGGCCCTCCTCTGGACTTGCTCCAACAGATCCATGTCCTTCTTGTGTTGAGAACACCAGAACTGCACACAATACTCCAAATGGGTCTCATGAGAGCAAAACAGAATCAGCCATGGCCTGTGCTAGTTTACCAGTATAGTTCCTTCTGATCTTTGAAACAATGGAGGCTGTTAAAGAACAATACAATACCCCTTTTTCATACACTTTATAAGGAGGCTTGAAAAATTCCTTTGTCCTCTCACTCACTGAGTCCTGTTACTACACACTTACTTGCTTAGTTACACACAAAAGAAGTTATACACATTACATATGTAATTTGAAAATCACCTCTCATCACTCACCACTCCCATTTTTCTGGTTTTCCAAAGGGTGCTTCCCAATTCCCTATATACTTGTTCAGCATGACTCTTTTACTTGACAGCCACAAGACAAGGACGAGATTCTGAGCATCCATGGCCCACTGAGACATCAACAGAAATGCAGACATAGAGAGTACCTACTTGGCACTCTCCCACCACTGGCATAAATCACCTTCACACAATTTCTGCTCCCTTGCACAAAATATACTGAGGGAAAGAGATTTTGTCCTCATAGTATTGATTATAGAACTTCACCTTTTTGAAACACTTGACTTTTGGCTGAAAAGGTTCTACCACTCAAAACTAGCAGTTTTCACTTCTGAAAATATACCTAGAAGTACTGGAAAATAAATTGAAGGAAAGTAGAAAACAGACTACCAGATCTGTGCTTAACTTACCTCATTTACTTTTGCATATATATGTGGTGTTTGAAAAGCACTATCGGTGTTTTACCTGTGCCACAAATTTCTCATGCATTGTACCTGTTCCTTGATTAAACTAAAGCAGAACTCTTGCATTATGCTGAAAACCCTCTTCCCAAATACAATCAGACAAGCTATAAATAAATATTGTTATATACCAAAACATGGGAACTCAAGATAAAAACTGTTCAGCAGATCGACAGGCACAAAAATCAAAAGCTGGAGTTTCCCTGGAGCACCACCTTGTGGATGCAGAGAAATTGAAACACTACTTGAAACTACAAACACTAATAGGTCCCTAATATCTCAGGGACAAAACTGACATACATCTTCCCATATGTAATATTTTACACACAGTAACAGCAACAGAAGAACAATATACTGAAATAGATAAATTTATAAAACAGCTCACAAACAAAAAAAAGTAAATAGTAAAGCAAGGCAAGCCAGGACAGATAAAATAATCCAAAGGCACACGTAGCTCATGCTTCAGTCTCAAAATTAAGATAAGCGGATTAAACTTTCAAGATATAAAAAGAAGCAAAACATCCTAAACAGACAAAATTGCAGGCTACAAGCAAGTTCTTGCATCCTGCTGAAGACTTTGGTTCTGAGGAACAAATAAATGGCAACAGCATTCTTTTTGGACAAGTCCAGAGCAGACCGTAACCTGGCTAAGTACAGACATATAGTGAACCCTCAGAACACATGATTTCAAAAAATGTAAAAATGTCTTCTCCCCCCCCCCCCCCTCCGCACTTTCCAAATTTGAATTCTAAAAGTCCAGCTAGACTAGAACAAATGTGATAGGAATAGGATGGTATACTTACAGAAGGGAGACAAATCTTATTTTTTGTGTTCATATTCAGTATTCAAGAAAACAGGGGAGTGCAGAACTGTCAGCAAATGTCAGAAACTACATCTCACAGTAAGTTTTAGATGCTACATGTAATATACAGCTTTGTTTATAAAATTGTGAAAATGAAAAAGCTTAAAAGCAGGAAAGAACAAGAAAGGTTCACTGGCCATCATTCATTTTAATATAGATTTTGTATTGGTCCTACCATTATAAAACTGCCTTTACACCACAAGGCATCAGGTTTTACCTGGTTTAGAACTTTCTGGAGATAGGGCGTTCCCATCCGATCTGCCATGTGCCTATACGCTGGGTGGGAAAGAAAGAATTTCCTTTCTGCTAGAAGAGCTGCCTTAATGTCCTTCTTCCCATCAATGTCTTTCTGGCTTCTGTTTACAACACCAACATAACCTAAAACAACACAAACCCAATGGGCAAGTCAGTGCAGCTATTGCCCATGTGACTGAATTCACATTAAGTCAAACTAGACTGCCTCAACTCAAACAAAGCTTTCCAATTTAGGCACTTCAGATACTGTTTACAAGTACTCAGAAACCTTAACAGTGTCTAAATTGTTCATCCTGTTTATGTATAGCAAATACACTTTCTTTTAAATCACTGATTCAAATACAGAAATATCTGAAACTTTGGTGTACCCCCCAAAAATCACTTCAAAATAATAAAACAACAACAACAAAACAAAAAACCCCCCATAAAACAAAAATCAAAACACATACACAGGTCTACATAGATAAATTACATGATACTAGTAAAATAGAGAAAAAAAAATTCCCTTTTGCTGGAACAACATGCTCCATGGGAGGAGATGGTGGTGTCATCAGTAAGTTATAGCTGGAATCAAAATTCTTGATATTGTTTACAACTGAACAACTGTGGCATTGGCTGCCAGAAGAATCACATGGGAAGTTTCTGAAAGGGTTCACAACTTGATTTACAGTGAGATAACTAAAGCTCTGGTGCTTGCTTCTGTCATATGCAAAGAGAAAAAAAATTTCTTTTGTTACAAGCAACAACCTGGCACAGGAGAGAAAACTGGCTCACAACCTGTGCCGACATTTCTTGCTTCCTCTGGAATACGCAGTGTATTTTCCACACATAAAAAAAAAACAACAAACCACAACCTAGGAATGGATCAGTCCAGCACAACCTCTGATTCACATCCAGGCCCCCTAGACAACATCCTTATCCAAACCACTTTCTGGACTGCAAAGAATATAAGCAACTGAACATTTGCACCTCTACGAAGAGGGAGTAGTTTGTTTTCTAGAATTTCTCTTGCATCTGTTCCATCATCCATCAGATCCAATTTTGTGATCACACCGATGGTCCTAAGGCCTGCTCAGGGTGAAGGCAGGAAAAAAAAAGAAAAAATGATACTGAGGAATCATTTATATTCCGACAGAACAACTACATTCTACAATTATATAACACCTGACATTCTCAAAGCTTGTATCACACAATACCAGCTACAACTGCAAGTTATGATATATTTGGAAAAGAAGGGATCATCATTGCCAGTGCTGAAATGTGCTTCTCAAATCTCTAGCAAGGCTTAGCATTCCTATGATATGACTGTATAAAATTTATAATGCAAGTATTATCTAGAAAGCCTATCAACACCACGGTCCCTTTTGCTAGGTACTACAGAAATTTCTAGATAGGCATTGCTCCACTTGCCTGTAAGACATACTGATAAAATTTTTAAAACACATTTACAGCATCATTACTGAAATGACACTAAGCTAACAAACAGTGATGATGTTGAAGCCTATATGAGAATGTACATATACACATCTACATTATAAATCATTTTTCACACAAGAGCTGTTCAATTATGTTACTACATTAGAGAATGAAAAGTGGTTATGTTCAAACACACTTACCTTGAGGGTCCACTTCCTTAGCTAACTTCAGTGCATCTGAGTTGGCCAAATCAGTGTTAGCTGGAGTCACAGCCAGTATCAGACAGTTTTCACGAGAGATGAACTGCATTATCATGTCTCTGATCTGCTGCTCAATATCTGGAGGCTGATCCCCTACTGGCACTTTAGTGATTCCGGGCAAATCAATAAGGGTCAGGCTTAATACTATAAGGAAAACACAGGATCAAACTGGTTAGCACGCCAGACATGTCTAAAGAGGTCTAGGTGTCTATGGCTGCAGACAGATTTTACACACACATACAATCTCACATAAATTTCCTTTATAAGTATATAAATATTGTCAATGGTTGAAACAAAATGGCTGACAATCTGAAAAGTACACTTTTTTTTCTGCTAGTCTTTCATCTCCAGGTTAATTAGTACTATTTCATATTTTAAACATTACAACTGGCACAGGGAATGATACTTCTATCGCATATCCTCAAAGGCTCTTAGGCAAATGAGCATGGCTTTCTGAGCTTTGCTTTGCTTTGGTAGTCAGTCTCTCTCTGACCATCCTTTCAACAGTATCTCAAATTAAGAAATTTTGGGGTATGTTGTTGTTTCGGGTTTGGTTTTATTTTGTGGGTTGGTTTGTTTGCTGTTTTGGGTTTGTTTTTTTTTTAACTCTGTAACTTCTGAAGTAAAATATGTGTAAAAGTTTATCCATTAATAAAACCTCTTTTGTTCTGACATGATTTCCTCAGTACAAGCCACAGTTTCAACTACAAGCATCCTACCTTGTTCAAGCCTGTACTAGGGAAACAGAGTACCCTTCAGAAAAATGAGAAAAATGCAATTCCTAGAAAGGAAACACCAGAAGTATATTTGGGGTCTGGCTAATACAGACAACAGTTGCTGAACTAAATGACTGATCCTAATAAAACAAAGTAAGAGCATTAGGTAGGAAATTTTCGTTTTCTCCTGGAGTCAATATGTCCAAACAACATGCTTCAAGGCAGAGCATTTAACTCAGCTTCTCTCCAGTCAGCTATACCATATCTGTATAGCAGAGAAAGGTTGAGAGGCACATATTTAGAGCCAAGGCTGCTCACAGTGTATCAAAGGGAGGCTCAGCATCTCTTTAATTACCTCCCCTCTTATTTTAATCTTTCTGTCATTTGACTCACCATGAAGACATCAGATGAGGTGGTTAGAAAAATAAAGTGCTTCAGTCAACCACACCACTTTTCTCCTGTATTCAAGACAGATTCAATGCAAAACATTTTCTCTAGATTGCCTTCATCAAATTCGCCAGATGGCAACCAGAGGAACTAACTTTGATCTATACTGGGGGTCTACAACATAAAGCAGCTTCAAACACTATTATTGTCTAAATATATTTTTAATGACAGCAAACAATAAACATCTAATAGGGCAGGGAGACATAATGACTTCCTAGATCACTGACTGGGGAATCCATCTGGAGGGCAGCAAAAAAAAGTTTTGCCACTAAGTCTCCCATCTCCCTATCATTTGTCTTTACTAGTGAGTTACTGTCTAATGGCATATGTACTGGGGGAGACTGGTTTCATCCTGATGTACAGCGAGAACATTTTTAAATCATGAGAATATTAAATGGAACAGTCTGCATTCTGTCCAGCAGAACACAGAAGTTGACAGTTCTTCCAGGTGCATATCCATTTTTTGCTTCAACTCAGTCCCAGAAGTTTTTCATCCCAGAAGACTTCTGACTGGTCAATGAGAATGCATACAAAAGGAAACAGCTAGACAGAGCTACATAAGCCATCACATGACAGAAATATAAAGTAGCATGATTTTACCTACCATGTGGAGAATATATTCTTAAATTTATAGGAACTGAAGAAATGCCTTTGTTCACTCCTGTTACTCTATCTGTTTCTACTTCAATTTCCTGACGAACTTCATCAAAATCAGTAAATTTCCTCCCTTTGCAGTGTAGAAATTCAGCATACTCTGTGAAAAATATCAAAAGCAACTCTGTATTTCACAGGCTATAGACTTAGACACCCACTTTCAAGCCCCTAGTATTCTTCAGATGCATATGTACAAAAGCATGTCATCATGAGTATCAGGAAAGCATTATACATGAGCACATGCTATAGATGTGATTGTACAGATGAAAACCAGCCTACAACAAGAAAGAGTGAGTTAAAAAGTCAAGTTGAATGAATGTGATTTACTGCTTTTAGCTTCAGCATGTCACCTTGTGGAACAACCTAAAAGATTCAAATAGATACCATTTACACTAATAGAACAAGGAACAGATTGTGACTCATATTTGAGTTTTCATCTGATTACATTTGCCTGCAATACATCACTAAATTGAACAGAAGTCAAGCTCTGTATTATCAAAGATTATTAGCACTGGCTTTCAAAAACTAACAGCCCATGTTACACGATTTTTAACAAAGGAGTCTGTATATTTTTAAAAGGTCACAATGAAAATAAGATCACTTAAGAACACCATAATGTTTATAATGCAACTCATTTCCCAAAAACTTCTTGTCATCTAAATCCAAACTATGTTTAAGAAGTTTCTAAAAACTTTTATTGATATAGCAGTTATTCTGCTTAAGTGGGAGAATACAATGAATTCCTACATCTTCAATATCATCAAACCTGCCCTTTTACCTTTTGGGCATCAACCAGGAATCAAGGATAGATACAGTGTAATTCGTTAGACTCAAACTTGACACTAGGTCCCTCCCTGTTTTGACTCCTGAATCCAAATATGGATACTAATTTCCTTCCCTAGATGTGCAAAACCAAAAGCACATCTCAGATTTTAGAACTGGGGTTTCTTCCTTTAAAATACAACACAAATGTTTATCTTACAATAGTGATGCTGTAATCAGAAGTAATGACATAAATGTTAACAACAGATACAAGCTCATTTCCTGATCCCGCTATAAGCAATAGGGCTGGAGAAAGGCTGATCAAAGTTGTGTATGTTCCAGTTAATTTCATCCTGCAATCAAGACCTGATCTCAAAAGTTCCATTTGAATGTTTCTTCCCCAGAAAGCATTTTTTTGGTAAACAGCCCTCAAACCCCAGAGCAAAGAGCTTGCTTGGTACTCAGAGAAGGAACAGAAGCTCAGGAGATCTGATCCAGGAATACAGATTAATCAAGAGTCTTATGTACCAGCACTGAAGTTTGTTTCCCAGAAGTTGCTTTATTACTATTGGCAGAAGTGTTAAAAAACAATAGCCAAAACCACACATGAAACCAATAAAGTAAACTGAGAGGAAAAAAAAAAGGGAGGGGGAAGGAGAGAGAGTAGGGGAAAACAAGTACCAACCTTCCTGTGTTACACTACCATAATCCCCCCAGATTCAAAGGCAAGGGACCAGAAAACCCACCCTTATTAAGACAAAAATAATACATATTTAAAAAATGAGAGCACTCAACAAAAACCTCCATTTCATTTCTGGTAACTTAAGAATTCCAGCATCTCTTACATCCTTTTTTAGTTCTAGCAGCAAAATGACAATGAGTAGGAGTTTTGTATGTTTTGTTGGCAACTATTAAAACAAAACAAAACACACACACACAAAAAAAGGAATATTCAAATAGTTTAAAGTGAAAGATAACATGGCACACAAAATATTTCAGTTTCTCTAGCACATTTCAGAATTCACATATGTAAAGTTTGTCATCTCAAGGTTGGAAAATAGTTATCTACTGGAAAAAGAACTAACAAGTGGCTCTTATTTTGTCCCAGATCTTCATGCACTACTGCTGGAATAACATAAACGTATTCTTCTTAGTTACTTCCCTCCCTCTCTCCCCAGTGGTTCATCAGACTTCCTCATAAAAATATTTCACAATTCAATAATTAATACTCAGTGACTAGTTGTAATCAGTTGACTGACTCAGCTGACTGTCAAGGAAGCTTTTCTCTTTGTTCCACTAAATGCTCAGTAGTAATAGAAAAACTCCTAAGTGAAATGGCTTCATGGTAATTCAAATGAAAACATCAGCTACTTTTTTAGGTGCCTTAATATTTATCAATAGCTCATTCGTCCCAGTGACACCTCTGGTCCCTCTGAAGGAATAGACTTTACAACAGTTCATAACCTGTGGTGCCACGCACAGCCTTTAGAATAAAAATTCAAATTAACAACAAGCACTTTGTTTTGCTCCTTTCAGCTCCTTGCCTGTCCTTGGCAGTGCTGCCTTTAGCTAGACTGGATAAGCACATGCTTGAATGCATTCTTCAGTTTTCAGCTTTCATACACAGAAGAATACTAGGAAAACATTTTATTTACATTTTTATGGAAATGGACATGAAGCCACACAAGAAAAAGGGAGCTTGCCCAAGGTCTGGTTTTCAGATATGTATTTTCTGGATAAAGCTGCAATCACAAAAAAGAACCATTAGCTAAAAAATCTTTGCTCGAATGCCTCTCCGGCATTCTTAAAGGCTCCCTTCAGATAATGGAAGGCTGCTATGAGATCTCCATACAGCTTCTCTCCTCCACACTGAACAGCTCCAACTTTCTCAGTCTTCGTATGTGTTTTTTATTTTTATTTTTTTTTAAAAACCTCCTTGATCCACACCAAGCCGAACCCAAGACCTTCCAAAGTCTGACGGAGCCCATACAGAAGACCCTATGAAGAATACCCTATGCAGAATAATCTGCTACTAGAGGTCAAGAATTTACCAGAATGAGTCACCTGGATTTTACCAAGAATTTACCAAGATGAAGCACCTGAAGGACTCTTCCCACCTGATTTCATGTACAGTTGTTCCAAGCCTGTGGTGGTATCCAGTCTAATATACTCAAGAGTTAAGTCTCCAGCTTGGAGTTTTTAAAAAAGGTGGCTTATTAAATACTGCTCCTATAGCAAAACAAATAAACATACACAGCAAAGGGGGAATGCATTCTACTACTGTCAGTCCTTTAGAGAGATGTCACACAAGCAACAAGAGTCTTGTTAGCTTCAATGAAGCATCCCAGAAAGCTTCAGAATGCTTTTCAAAAGAGTGATTTCAAAAGATTTAAAAACATGCAAATAAACAACATGAGCTTAAGTACATCACCTTTTCTTTGATGACAGATCAGCTTTTTCTGAACAAAGTAAATGCAGTCAAATTAATCTATTTTGACCCTAGCAAATCATTCATTAGTTCTTCACTGAACAGAGAGGCAGTATCAAAAGCCCTTGTTGCCTTATCCCATCTATAATCTTTCTTCTAATTCACCATTTCTCTAGCTTTTCTACCATGTTGAAAATAAAATATTGAGAACTCAGACATCCCAGTGCTAATTTCAAGCAGCCAGGCTACAAGAAATAGAAGTACCCTGGTATTTTCTGAAGAAAATACAGAATATCCCATCAGTGCAGAGGATGACAAGTATATCATAGCATAAAAGATTTTAAAAAAATTAAATTAAAATAGTGTTGATCTGATGAAAGTAAGTAACATAAAATACCAGGTCATGCTCTTAGGAACCAGTGAAATGCTTAATGTTAAGGGTAGACACTCATACCAGAGGAGAAAAATAAGCACTCTTTTTGATTCAACAGTCTTTCATATTCTTGAAAATGTTCTGAAGAAGAAATGCATCACTCTTCTTTCAACCTTCCTCTACACATCATGCATTCTAAACCTTCAATCATTCACAGGTATTCTCCAGGCATTCTTCTGAATGCTACAGAGGCACAGCTCACCAGGATCTTTCCAAGACTGAAAAAAAGTAGAACTACGTTTAAAACTGCATTTCTGTTGATACATCTCATATAATATTAACTTTTGTATTTTAGAACAGCATGACAGCAGTGAATTGTGCTCTCTTAGAGGTCCACTGCAATCACCAGGTTCTTTTCTGAAAACTAGCTGTCTAAATACTAATCTTTCAGAACAGAAACAGCCCTCATCCCAGGTGAACTCTTCCTGCTTTTGAGGCAGTTCTTTTCCTTTGCAAGCAATTTAGATTCCCGTTCTGCCCTCCAGTGTATTTCAGAGTCTTGTTCATATTTGCCAAATATAAACTTATTAAACATGCTATGTTCTGTCATACTATCAGTAATACCATATATTGAACACGACATGGAGGGATGCTTATCAGGCCTGTTCGGGTGATGAGTACTCCACTGTCTAGGGAAGGGGTCACCAGTCACTACCACCTTTTCCCCATAGCGATGCCATATTTTACCTTTTCAGGTATGCAACTCCAATACCTTCACTGGTCTCTACAGAATCCCTGTTCATTACCTGAATGAGTAACTGCCAGAAAATGAGACCCATAAGTCAGCAGCCGCTGTCTTCCTTCCTTCCCTGCTAAGTGCCCACTCTCTCCAACCACTGGCATTGTGGCACCTTTCTTGGTTTTGTCCTTCAAGACCTCCAAATGCCTTCCTGCTGCTGAAATCTCTAAGACCATGTTAGCCGAAACAACCAGTCTAAGGTTCTTTTTATAAATGTCATTTTCTGTTAGAGGATTGGTTTTACCACCAGATGGCAATAAAAGATGGGTATGCTTGAGGAACAGTCTCAACAAAAGACTTCCTTTAAATCTCAGTAATTTTACTAGAAGAGAGCATCAGCAAGACTTCAGGAAAAAAAAATATCATAATGACTTTTGAACCTCATGTGATTTACTTTCCATTTAAGTGCTCTAATTAACAGAACTGAAACAAAAGTGGGCATTGTACATATGACTCATCTAAAAATGTCCACCTCAATAATTTTCAAAATTTGTTAATCTGACACTTCTTTAGCAAAGAAACTAAAGCAAGACCATGAAGAAAATCCAAAATCCCTCCAAAAGCAGTTATCAAAATGAGGAAAATAACCCTCCTAGAGCCAAGGTATTTTAACATGTAAATAACAAATAACAGGCTTTATATAGTAGGCAATGTATTTTTAATAAACAGAAGAACAAAAGCTTCAACTAAAACCCCAGTACATTTTTTGTTGTCAGTGCTGTTTAAAAAGCTTACTATCCAATCAGAAGAAATCTAGATCTTTAATTATCCCACTTTCACAGGCAGGAGACAGCACAGCAAGAAGAAGAAGAAGTTGCCTGATTTAGATGGAATATGTGGGGGGGGGGGAAACTGAAACGAAAATAAAATTTAAAAAAAAAAACCCAAACACACAACTCCTTTAATTAACTATGGTAACACATGACAAATTACTACAGGTTAGCATGCTTACTGCAAAACTTGCAGAGGGAAGATTAAGAGTTGAAATGGAACTAACATACCTTACACAGAATTTAGTTATGTTGCTTTAAGACTAGTGAACACTAATGCTGCCTAAAAATTCTTGTCAGCTGTGTGCCAACACTTAGATCTCAAAACACGGACAGGGAAAAGTCCTTATAAAAGTATAACTACAGGAATATGTAATGCATTCCTCCACCTGAAAAGGAATCATGAGTAAAAAAGTGAAAGATAAGCCCTCTAGACTCACTGGTAACTGCTGAAATATCACAACAGTTTAGCATTTGAAACAGATGGTGTCTACTGAGAAAGAATAAACTCCCTGTATCTTACACAACAGCAGACAAATACTGAAAGAACCAGCATGGTTTTTACCTGAATTTAGGCATCAGTCTAACAAAATAAAGTGCCCTCACATGCAACTTCTCACCCAGGAAAAAAGCAGGTGAAATTCCTCCCATGTACATCCTCAGAATGGCTAAGCTAATTTATCACCACTGTCTTGCCACGTGAAACCTGAAGTTCTCCATCAGAGAGCCTCCCAGGTAACAGCACCATGTCCACACCTGTGCCTTCTAAAAACTCCCTGAACTGCATCTTCCCAGACAGGACTATTTTCTCAAGAACTATTCTGTACTCAGAGCTCCTTCAAGATGCAACAAAGGTACAAGACTCTTGTTAGACCTGACACTGGACACTGCCAACATTGCGGAATTGCTCAGGGCCAAATGCAGTGACCGGAAAGAATATCAAAGTGCATGTGGGTTGCTTGTCAAGCCAGGTAGGACATTTTTTTCAGTTGTGACTTCTGGGAAGGAAACAAGGCTGCTTTGCCAGAATTTAGGTCTGTTTGTTAAACAAACACTGCATGCTCGTTCAGTCCAATTCTCTCTTCCAGCAAGAGAATGTATATAGTACTTTTCTTTGGTAGAAGAAGAGCAACTGAATCAAAAATATGAGATGAAGAATAGGGATGAAAACTTGTGACCCTACCTATAAGGCTGCCAATGAACTACTTTGGGACAAGTAACGAGCATCAGTCTCTAGCTGCAAGAAGACACCTTGGAACCTCAAAATATTTACAAGATGGAGATTATTCTCCCCACCCCTTCCTCCTCTAGCTAGTACATTAATTTATTTGGTACAGGCCACATTTGCAATTTCATCTGAAATGCAGTTGGGCAGTCCCAAAAAAGACTGCGAAGTAGGATAGTCAAGGACAAGTCAGAGTCCTTCAGAGGACTGTAAATTATTTTTAACATCCATATTCTGACTTATTCTATGCTACTAAGTATTTCTCATATTATCACACTCAGAAGAAAATAGTCATAACTAGTAAAGACTGACTTGTTAGTTACAATATTTAATTAAAACCTTTGTCTTTGCCTCTAAGTTTTCAGCAGAGTACAGTACGTGCATGGAGGTGGAAGTGCAAATGGCATAAAGCCATTTGGCAATTGTACTGTTGTCACCAAAATATGTTAGTGGTTAAAGGAGGTCAACAGGTTGCTATAAAATAGCTTTGTACTAATTACACAGATTATTTTTTTTAAGAGGAAGTAAAAAAAAGTTCTTAAAAAAAAAGAAAAAGAACACTACTCCACATCTCATGAGATAAATTTCTTGGTAGCAAATTCATTCATGTTACCCCTTCCATAGTCACAGGAGTAATTACTCGTTATCCAGATATGTCAGATCTTTCAGAGGCTGGAGAGCTCCTGGTAACTCCTCAGGGGCTGCATCCTTCAGTGACATGTATGACCCTAATAATGAGTGGTTAAACTTTCCCTTCAACTGCCAATCTTTATCCCTTAGTGCAGTGACACAAATGAAGCTTTAACCTTCTCAGTCAATCAAATTCACATTCCAAAAATATTCTCAGACAGTTGCAAAATATTGCTAAAGCATATTGCAGTCATCTCCACATGCCTATATAGAAAGTACCCCTTCCCTTCCAAGGAATAATCTTAAGAAGTTACTTTTAAAAGAGTCAAGAAAGGTCCTAGGATTAGAGGTCAGTAAAGCTTGTTACAGCATCAAGAAGCTGATACAGTCCTCCACTTTCTATAACATTTTAGATAATTATGGACTTGATAAAAATCAGTTCATCGTCTATTTCCTGTAAAAGAACACTGTGCTTCTCTAAGCAGTTTTCTTTCTTTTCCTTTTGTTTTTTTTCTTTATTTAGTTCAGAAAGATAAAGGTGGTTTAAAAGATAAAGTTATTTGGAATTTCACCACCAAAAATAGTAACAGTGGAACAAAGTTTAAAGAAAGTAACAAAATAATTAAAGCTTACATTTTGAAGGTCTCGGCAGCTAATCCCAAACAGAAACACACAGCATTTCCCAAAGGGAGAAATATGTCTTGCCATTCGGGAAACACAAAATTAAGCTGAAGCTCAGTTCTCCAGAATTCGTAAAGTTTTTGTTGTGTTAAGTTATAACGAAGAACTGCTTTTCAGCAGAGAAGGTACCTACACAAAAACCTAGAGGCTTATCTAAATCTAGTAATACTATGTAAACATATTAATGGGGAAAATACCAGAAAAAGAGAAGTGCCTTCATTGCCTCCTTAACCAAGCCAAATTATGATGATTTTACAAAATAGGACAGTACAGACCAGTTGAGGTAAATTTAGGATGGATGTCTAAGTATTTAACCACTTGAGGTTAGAGCGTAAGAGTTTACTTACTAATTTGTATGTCCCCGCATATGTCATTTTGATAGTATTGCTATCACAGAGCTTGATTCTTTTTTCTGCTGCTTTTACATGGTGCTGGGAAAATTAGATGAAGATTCTCTATAGCTAGGCCTTATTCATGCATTTCTACATTCTCTGTCAGATCAAAAGCCAGATATGCAGAAATAACACGTGTTCATATCTCCAACTAAAATGAACTTCATCTTTTAATATTAAGTACCTTAAGCATATTACACACTTGAAAATCCTAACATTTCTAAGCTGAGCATACAGAAATACTGGATTCCAGTTTTTCCTCTCCCTTACACAGTATAAAACTATGGAAAATTTCATAGAGGCACTGAAAGTAAGAATCAGCTTTAGAAGCAGTAATTCAGGAAAAAAATGGAGCCTAAGCAGACTGAAGTATATCTTCCTGCTGAACAACAAAAAGACCTTTTAGGAAAATAAATGCATGTAAAAACTTAATTACACCTCACACAGAGACAGACTAAAGTTCTAGAGGCAGCTTCAATTTTGTTTCTTCCCCAGTTTCATCGTGTTCCATAATTTAAAGACTACTTGTTATTTTGAAATTCTGCTTTGGATGTTATTTCTTTTTATCATGTTAAGCAGAAGTCAATAGTAAAAAAGTTATTTTGTTGCTTACATAGGTTTAGAAACAACAGCAACAAAAATTGAATGATGGAAAACCATAGGTGCTTTTATATATGTTAGGGAACTGAGCTACACAACAGCACATTGTACTCAACCAAGGGGCAATTAAAGTGGCGAATTCTGATGAAAAGATCTCAATATGCCACATAACTCAGTAGTATACACATACTGTATTTTTATTTTTGACCAGACAAATACACAGAAGCCTTGTTCTCCCCCAGTCTACCTTCTGCTCTACTTAGTGCAGTGAGCCCAACCAAAAAAGACAAGTCATGAAAACAAGCTGTGTGGAATCAAATCTGTGTGCAATGGAGCAAAAGTTAAAGGTAGAAGTAGAGTAATTTTGGAATGTTAACTAGTACAACTGTAAAGCTCCTCAGGAAATGAATAAACCAAAGCTAATTTTTAAAACACATTGTATATAATGTTTCTCCACTGCCTCAAGTTTTATCTTGAATTAAATTTACTATGTGCTCAAGGATTTAGATTTTACTGTTTTCACAGATAAAACAGTGAGATTAGGGGTCATAAGCATACAGTTTTGAATCAGGGTCCTTGGTTATAAGCAGTCTAGTTGCATCTTTCTTGACACTGCTAAGTTTTCCCATACCTTTTTTTTTTTTTTTTTAGCTCTTGCTGAAGTACACCAGCACTCTGTTCAGGCATTTAGCCAAAGAGAGAAAGAGGTTACCTGTTTTGGCAGTGATGAGTTGCAGGACCAATGGTCGTCTTGTTACAATTCCAGAACCTCGTGGAAGAAAATCCCTAGAAACATTTAAAAAAGACAGTTACTACCCAGAAAGCATTGTGCAGTTACATAAGATATTGGACTAATATGGAAGATTACACCTTCAGCTGCAATGAAAATAGAAAATTGGTGGGGACGGATTTAAAGCAAACACTACTGTAAAGTAGGGCTGTTAATTATGGTCCAAAATAGCAGTAGGTCATTAGACAAATATATAGTAAAACTAAATGGCTAAAAATTAAATTGGGGCATTACCAATTTTCTTTCTTCATGACCATCACATACAACATCTCAAAATTCACCTTGCTTAGTAAGAGTACCTAAAGCCATGCCCGTATTTTTCGGCCTTTCAAAAACAGAAGTGCCCACACCATATCCTTGATTTGAAGAGGGTATGGACATATGAAAACACACACTTACATACCACAACAAAGCTCTGGCCAAACCAAATTGTCAGCACTCAGCACCTACTCTTTCAAATAATTCTGCCAGTTCAAATCCCCAAATAACTTCTCCAGCAAACACATCCTCCTAGAAGTCTGAGTGAACACTAAACACTAGAAGTACTCTGGGACAGCAAGAGGGAGTGTTCTTGTACCAGAAAGCAAACGATTAAGCAAAGACAGCAACTCTGTCATACCATTATGCATCCCCATGATCCTTTCTATGCCTCCAAAGACAAGGAAACTCTCTATGCAACCAAAACCCTAGAAAAACTCTGAACCAACTTTTAGCTGCAAAATCAATGATCAGAAACCCAAAGTAAAATAATATTTCTTTTCCCCCAGGATCTCCCACATTTGCCATATCTATTAAACTCTTAGAAAACTTGAGGTTCAGTGATGCTGAGCCACTTTCTTGCCTGTCTCAGGGGCATTGCTAACTCACCTCTCCTGCTCAGGTGAGAAGCAATTCAGCAAATGGTTAGGGCATAAATCTTCAGTTAAATCAGGGAGCTGATCTAGGGGACTGTGCTGTCACATGTGCTAGTGCCAGTAGGAAGGGTGAGGCAGGAGTGTGTGTACTGTGTCTGGGACAGGTGAGGAAAGGACAAAAGCCAAAGGAAGAAAGACACAGCCCTGTCAGCCCTTTAGACAGAACTGCTTAGATGGGTTTGCTCAAGCCTCTTGATAAACCACATCTTGGCACAATCACTGTGTGTCTTCATACCAACCTTGTACTACTTAACAGATGTCTGATTTTAGCAGTTCCTTTAAGGCAGCACACAAACTTAGAAAGTTTAAAAGAAGCCTCGAGGGTACACATATGAAAAATAAAACACAAATATTTTATCAAACTTCAGGATATTATTTGTGCAAATCAGAGGATATTAGGTCTTTGGAATCCCAGCTCAGTACAGGCTTAGGAATGCAACAGTGAACCTACCTAACTAGTGCCAGCAAGGTAACAAAGCTTTGGCAGTCTGAAGAGAAATACAGCAACTCTACCCGTGACACAAGCTCTAAGATTTCTTTCCCACATGAGCAAGAAGTTCTAAGGCTCTGAGAAACAGAACTGGCAACTGACTGTGAGCTGTACCCCACACCACTTTAGGACTCCTCAGCATTTTAAATGCAGCAATGTTAATTTCTAGCTAAATAAAAATCTCACTTTCTCAGTACCTGTTAATACATGTTTCCAGTGTTATTACCCTGCAAACTAAAGCTAAAGTACACCATAAAAGGAGAGGCAGTTAAAACACAAGCTAGCTCCTTAACTTTTATACTCAAACACAGATCTGCAGGCAAAAGCACAACTAATTAGAAATTCAAGTAATCTCTAAAACAAAGATACTGAAAAAAAAAAAATCAGGCCTACTGATTTAAACCTGCTGCAATGTTTTACCACACTCGAGACAGCAACAGGATACAAGAACTAGCTCAAAGTTTTCAAAAGGTCTTATCACAACTTCAATACCTACCAGTAGAGAGAAAGCTGTGCCTCAGTGAAGTGCTATCTACTTACATTTTCTCAGGGGCAAGAGAACATTTTAATAGGAACATATTCATCCCTGTATATGCACTGAAATTACATAGCCCAGGATGCAGAAAATGCCTGTTAAGATACAGTTCCATGCACTGACTTTCAAGCACCTACTAGCTGATTTAAAATAAGTAAATAAATAAATTTACCATCATGAAGCTAAAAGGAATTGTCTACCATTCAGCAAGCTGATCAGCTGATTCAGGGCAAGCCGATCACATAAACCAAATTAGGGTCCTCTACAGTTACCACATGAGGCAATACAATCCTTCAGGGAGTCAAAGGCTGAAAAGACATTGATTTTCTGCTTCAGACTAAGCACATTCAGAGGTAAAGAACACTGCATTAACGCAACTCCCAGTTGTACAACACTGACCTTTCCACAACACCAAAATTACAAAGAAATGCAGGATACCAATTTTTCCTTCAGAACACCCTCTTAACATGTCCAAAGTAGATGGCATTTGATAACCCTCTCTAATAAGCTGAATTATCATTGAAAAGCCCACTGTCTGTTGAAGCAAGCATCAGCAGAAAGAGGTTACTGCTCAGGAGATGGTGAGCTGTGTTGAGCACATAACCAACTAAACAATACACAGCAGAAGGACATAGGTTTCTCCTTGAAATGAACAGTTTGAAGAGGAAAAGAAGACAATAACTGAAGGAAACAAGGGGTTCATGGGGAGAGTTCAGGACAAAAATCCACCCCACCATCCCCCCTAACTGCTTGATGGGTATCCTACAAAGGAGACTACCACCTAAATTAATAATTGTGCCCCCTCAGGGACAGGGAATTAAAAAAATAAAAATTCTGAAATTTCAGGTTCAGCCACAAGGCAATGGCATCTGTGCACTTTCTCTGCACAACCCAAATCAGACGTCACAAACAAATACGTAAACTCTACTTCTAGCAAAAGGCACTTCTTTAAACACACAAAGAAACATGAGCCAAATCTGAGACACAACTGGCATTTGGGGGGGGGGGAGGCCGGGACACTATGACAGAGGAGGGAAGAAACATAGTACCACATTACAATCCTAGCAAAAGGGAACCCAATTAAATAGTGTACACTGCTTCTGTAGAAATGCCTACTTTGACATCCACAAGGCAGGATGCAGGCCTTCTCCCCATCACCTTAGTATGGCAAGCCTTCTACACAGGGTTTGTTTGCAAAAAAAAAACCAACCAACCAAAACAAACAAGCAACAAAAAAACCCAACAACAAAAAACCCACCAGCCACAATGCATTAAGAATGGCTCCACTCCCTCATTTTCCCCCTTTAATTCCTACTTCAGTAAAATTCTTCTTAAAGAAGAAAAAAAGTAGCTTCAGCAGCAAGAAATATGAAAGGAATGAACACAGTGGAGTCAACAGGTCCCTTTTGACCAAAAAAGAATGCCCCTCAGCATCCTGGTGGCACACTCAACTTCCTTTTAAGGACAGCTTCAAAAGAGCTGCTTTTCCACACCTTTTGGTCAATGTTTCATGAGAACTAGGAAGAAAATAAAAAAAATTGCATCAGAGTTGCAGCAGCTGCAAAGAAATCCATCTAGAAAAAAAGTACATGCCTAAGCATTTGAGCACAAAGGCACCACCACCAAGGGAGAGAAAAGGCTGTCTTTTGTGGTGGGGGGAGTGAGCCTGTGAGCACCCGTGTGCACAACTCCAAGAGTACTTCACAATAACAAGGTGCAGGAAATAAGAATGAAACACAATGTGCAAGAACACATCTGTGAATGAAAGATATGCTCCTTTAAAAGACATGCATTCTGCATTAAGAATCAAAATACTTTTACATCTTCATTCTTACAGCATTTTCATCAAAAGGTACCCTGCTGACAGCAGCTACAGTAGCTCAGCAGCAATGCCACTCTGACATGACAGTTTGGAGACCAGCAGCAAAGCCAGTCTGGTATTGCCTAGCCAGTACTGAATATATCAAATGCAAATAAGATGCAAGCAGCCAGGTCTTCCAGAACATCACTCCAATAACTCTTCAACCTTAGAATGTACTCATCTGTTAGAATAAATTAATATTTTCAAAAGCAAAATATGTTCAGGGCCAAGTAATTTTTATCCTAAAAGCTATAAAATTACTCATGCCTTACTGCACAACACAGAATCATAGAATCATAGAATAGTTAGAGTTGGAAAGGACCTTAAGATCATCTAGTACCAACCGCACTGCCATGGGCAGGGACACCTCACACTAAACCATGTCACCCAAGGCTCTGTCAAACCTGCACTTGAACACTGCCAGGGATGGAGCATTCACAACCTCCCTGGGCAACCTGTTCCAGTGCCTCACCACCCTCACAGGAAAGAATTTCTTCCATATATCCAATCTAAACTTCCCCTGTTTAAGTTTTAACCCATTACCCCTTGTCCTATTACTACAGTCCGTAATGAAGAGTCCATCCCCAGCATCCTTATAGGCACCCTTCAGATACTGGAAGGCTGCTATGAAGTCTCCACGCAGCCTTCTCTTCTCTAGGCTGAACAGCCCTAACTTTCTCAGCCGATCTTCATATGGGAGGTGCTCCAGTCCCCTGATCCTCCTCGTGGCCCTCCTCTGGACTTGTTCCAACAGTTCCATGTCCTTTTTATGTTGAGGACACCAGAACTGCACACAATACTCCAAGTGAGGTCTCATGAGAGCAGAGTAGAGGGGCAGGATCACCTGCTTCGACCTGCTGGATCATGTTCCTTTTGATGCAGCCCAGGATTCCTTTGGCTTTCTGGGCTGCAAGCGCACACTGCAGCTGGCTCATGTTCATTTTCTCATCAACCAACACCCCTCAAGTCCTTCTCCACAGGGTTGCTCTGAATCTCTTCTCTGCCCAACCTGTAGCTGTGCCTGGGATTGCCCCAACCCAGGTGTAGGACCTTGCACTTGTCATGGTTAAACTTCATGAGGTTGGCATCAGTCCAGCTCACAAGCATGTCAAGGTCCCTCTGGATGGCATTCCTTCCCTCCAGCGTATCAACCATACTGAAAACAGAATTTCCAGGTAGGGGAAAAGTTTTCATTT